AATGTGACTAATTAATAGTTGTCTGTAACTCATGGACCTCTTGATGGCTTGACCAATTAATGCACACCTTGCTCGACTTGTGACATTAGGCCATATTACGTATCTTATTTTTTCATTTGTAAGGTACAGTTATGAGAGAATATTAGGGCCAAAAACATGAAATTACAAGATAAAAGTTATAATGTCAGAATAAATTTGTACAAAAATAGAATCATAATATACGAGAACAGTCATAGAATCGCGAGATTAAAAAAAAGACCACTCTCATAATTTAATTTTAAATTTTTTCTTAGCATGGCCTTTATACTCTGCTGTACACAGTCAATATTGTTCATTCAGTTAATCCACACAAAAGTCATAACTTCCAGGTCGAGAGTCTTGGTGCTCCTGGCAGCATGGAATGGGATTTAGACTTTGCCTTTAAACTGGATTTACTGACAAAATGAAAAGAGAAGCCTTCACTGTATGCTTCCAGTAAAGGCTTCATTTTCAAGTTCCATTGACTTGAAAATGAAGTGATCGAGGCATGACGATGGATTCCCTGACCCTGCAACATGGAGGCAGGCCATTTCAGGTCATATTTGTGGGATTTACAACAGGATGTTGGATATTACTGGAGGAAAAAAATGTTTCAAGGGTCATTTCATATCAGCTTGGATAAACTTCCCGAAAAATCTTTAAGCTTATTTAAAGCCATAGTCCCCCCATTTCTTGTCCTTTCCCTCCATCACCTCTGCCCTCATCATTTACTCCTCTAATTATAATTTTTTATAAAGTTGTTCTGATGATTTATGTCCCACATATTTTTACTTTTTAGTACTTAAAAAAACAACAAACAAACAAAAACAACACTTTTACCAACATATTGTTAAACAAGAATAAAGGAGAAAGTCCTGATTTGACTCCCATCTTTACCCAGTTCTGTTTATGGAAAATGGCTTGCAATAAAAAGAAAAGTTCTGAATAAACAAGTTCATGCATCCATTATGCTCACTCATGACTGATGGACTGCCAGTTATATTTAAAAAGGCTCAGTGACACCCAGTAGTGATCACTGATAATGGAGACAAGAGGAATACAAGAATAAAAAAGAAAAAAAAAATCTGTTTCTGCTTGCCTGATTTTTCAGTAATAAAAACATCATGTAAGTAATTGCATTATATTCTTTTCGTGAATGGCAGAATAAGCTGCAGATATAAAGAAGAGCCAGGCCTGTCCTTTTCTGTTCTTTTCCCAAATATTTGTTGGAGAGGCTGGGCCCTAAGCATCTGTTTGTGATATACAGTGTTATGCTGTTTTATCTGTTTTGGACACGTGCAGTAGGGACAGAAATGGTCTCTGGGAGAGGATAATATTTCCTCTGTGTTTCTTAAAATGGCTTACAAAACTACAGTTTACAAAGTTTTATCCTCATTCAGATGTTTGTTTATTTGTTGTTTTGGGCAATTTAGCTGTTTTAGGTGTCTGGAGGTTTCTGAAAATGATTAGTGATCATTACTTAAACCAGATGTCTTTTTTCCCCCCTTTATTTTCTTCTCAATAGTCTCTTTTGAGTGTTGTTGTGTCTCTGTCTAGCTGAGTTGAATGCACCCAGGGTCATTGCTCCCCCATCAGAGTTGGACCAAGCATTTCAGAACAAGAACAGAATTCTAATGTGGTTACAACAGCATCTAGGCGGCGCTTCCCCTCGAAGCACGTAAATTGACAGATGTCCTTTCAGGAACAAAAAATATTTTGTTTTGCTTTATAATTTAATAAGGTCCTACATCTACAAGTGCATTCCTTGAGACAAGAGAAAAGTTTATTTAGTTTTTTTTTTTTTTCTTTACCTTGACACTGTGTTAACGGTCGTCTTCAATCGGAATCATGCTCTTTCATTTTTGAATATTGCTGTGTTTTGGTGTTTGCAGCTGGAGCCCCTCCCACCAAAATGGATTCACAATTTGTGTTCAGTCCAAGACTTTGAGTGATCTGAAGGACAAATTTGGCAGCAGATCAGATAGCAGGTTATTTTTGTACTACTGCATACACTAGCCATTGTTTTTGTGGCCCATCTGTATCTTATTTTGAAGAGATATGTAAACGTTATAGGTCTGGTTCGTACGGAGACCCTTAGGGGAGATGGAGCTTTTTTTTTTCTTTTGTGTCCCCTCGCAAAACTTTTGCGTCCCCTCGTAAAACAAAAGGGGACACAAAAGTATTGCGAGGGGACGCAAAATAAATGTTCAGAGATTACTATTTGTTTTCTGTTTTTGTTGCGGTTGCAACATAGTCTGTTTTTTCTGCTGTTGTTGAAGTTTACCTTCAAACTAGAATCTATTGTTCAAAGCTAAACATGCTATATGTATTGATGTATATATGTGTTACTAAAACAGTTGTCTATTTTAGATATCACTGGGTGTTAGAAAAGAAAAGGCTGACTTACTGGATTATTCCTGTAGCTGTGCAGCTGGTAAAGGTTTTAGCAATCATGTAGTTGCACTTCTTTACCAGACTGCACACTACTGCCAACTCCAGCTGCCAACTGTTCCTCCTGCACTGGCCTGCACAAGTGATTTACAAAGATGGCACAGACCAAGAACACAGGTAAAACAAAAAGAGTGAAACACATTGTCCTATGGGATGTGACATATAAATATCCTATATAAACTAAATTATATACATTGCATATACACATATACATTGTCATACACATATGATCTTAAAATAACAGTACTATAGTTATGTACACAATTTATTCCTCCTTTGATTGTGTCGCACTGCCACTTACGTTTCTTTCCCACCTCTATTTTATAATCGCCATATAAATTTTTTTGTAATCTCAATATTACTTGTGTCAAATATAGTTTGTTTGGAATATTTCTTTGTTGTAGGCAATGAAAAAAAACAGGCTCAACTGCTATCAATTAATTTATTTGCAAGTTGGGTAAAAATCTAAACTGTGCCAAATCAGTCCCATTATGTCCTAACAAACTGCTCACTCATCCATTCATTTGTTCTTTAGTTTGACATCTTTCTGTGTATTTCTTGTAAGGGGATACATCCTGAACCTGCCAGCAACATGGTGGTGTAGAAGCCCAAAACTATGGGGAAAAGATATCTGCACTCCACACTTTACAGAGCTTACACAGGTATAACGTTTGGTTTGTTTTTACACGTATGTTTCCTTTGTCAAAATTTAATATGATTATGTCACTGATGTTTGTAGGACCACTTCCAGAACCCGACATTCTGGCATCAGGAGAAAATCTACGCCAGCTGGAGTCCAAACCACTTATTGCTCTTGTCCTAGATGGTCTTTCAAATTTGGAGCTGGTTCCATCCAAATTTGGGCCTGTGCCACAGGGCTCACCAATGTCTTATCAGTGCCCACCTGAAAAGTTCTCTGGTAGCATCATTCTGCACCACATGGCTCCAGACTTCCCTTCTCTTCCTTTGATGCTGCATAGTATTCCAAATATGAGTACATCAGGAATTCATCAATCAGAGGCATGCAGCGGGCAGGGCTGGCTTCAGCACATGCTTCCTCTCCAAGTTTCTGTGCTCTGGTCCAGAACACCAGGCGTGATGCAGAGGGTGCAATGGACTCCCAGAAGATCCAGAACACACATTCAGATGGAAATTTGGTGTAGAACCGGATCTGATCATCACAGGCACAGTAGCGGCTAAAAAATGTGGCAGACAAATCCACTTTTTGAAGTCTGGCCTCCAACTCCTTGATATAATCCAGAGCTTCATCAAGTGCACCTGTAGAACCACAAAATAAAATAGCAAAACATACGGTTAGCAATAAGTTTTAATTATATATTTAAAACATTACTTCTGTGAAGATCAATACATGTTGTGAGTCGGAGCATGTATGTATACAGCCATTGAAATACAAAATATATAACCACATATATAATTTCATTATTATGTGATAATAATAATAATAATAATAATTATTATTATTATTATTATTATTATATCTTTATAGCAACAGTTATATTTTACTGAAATTATCTTACATGGAAAATATATGCAATATACTATCTTTTACCTGCGGGTGGATGTGCCGTGTAGTCATAGTCCGCAGTAGCATCTTCAGCCTGGCTAGCTTTCTGAGAGAGAAGAAACTGCTGTTTCTTAGCCCTCTCGAAAGCAGACTCTCTCATTGCAGGTGCAGTGAAGTTATTCCAGACAAACAGGAAAGGAACAGCTCCACTTTTAAGGCGGCTGGTGGTGGATCCGCTAACAAAATCCTCCGGTGTGAAGTGGCGGCTACATACGAAAGTGCTCCCCATCTTTATGCAAAAGTCCGGACCTTCATCTCTTCAGATCGCCCGTTGGTCCGGGTCCGTCGGGAACGCATGATATGACAGATATGGCTGTTTTCTTGCCCCACATGAACAACCAGGGACTGCACAAAAACAACTGTGCCGAGACTGAGCCATTTTCCTAGCCTTTTAATGCTAACGCTATAGCCACCGGAAGTTGTCCAACCTCACATCCGCTTTATAAAATCCAGAAGCGTGAACCCCGCGCATGCGCACAACTGCTCCGACCCCACGCATGCGCACAACCGCCCCGGCCCCGAGCATGCGCACATTCGTCCCGACCCCACGCATGCGCACAACCGCCCCGGCCCCGCGCATTCGCACATTCGTCCCGACCCCACGCATGCGCACAACCGCCCAGGACCGGCGCATGCGCACAACCACCCTGGCCCCGCGCATGCGCACATTCGTCCCGGCCCCGCGCATGCGCACTACGGCCCCGGCCCCGCGCATGCGCACATTCGTCCCGACCTCACGCATGCGCACAACCGCCCCGGCCCCCTGCAGGTTGATGTGCCGTATAGTCATGGTCCGCAGTAGCATCTTCAGCCTGGCTAGCTTTCTGAGAGGACAAACTGCCGTTTCTTAGCCCTCTCGAAAGCAGACTCTCTCATTGCCGGTGCAGTGAAGTTATTCCAGGCAAACAGGGAAGGAACAGCTCCACTTTTAAGGCGGCTGGTGGTGGATCCGCTAACAAAATCCTCCGGTGTGAAGTGGCGGCTACATACGAAAGTGCTCCCCATCTTTATGCAAAAGTCCGGACCTTCATCTCTTCGGATCGCCTGGATCCACTGCCTCCGTTGGTCCAGGTCCGTCGGGAACGCATGATATGACAGATAAGGCTGTTTTCTTGCTCCACATGAACAACCAGGGACTGAACAAAAACAGCTGTGCCGAGACTGAGCCATTTTCCTAGCCTTTTAATGCTAACGCTATAGCCACCGGAAGTTGTCCAACCCCACATCCTGAAGCGTAAAAAAGCCCCTCAGGGACATGGGGAATTTTTTTTTTTTCCTTTGTGTCTCCTCGCAATACTTTTGCGTCCCCTTTTGTTGTACGAGGGGACACAAAAGAAAAAAAATCCCCATGTCCCCTAACGTACGAACCAGACCTATAACGTCTCCTCTCAACCACTGCCCTAACGCTCTCTGACTCTTGTCGCTATGGTAACGTTTACATGTCAGATACGACTTTTTCCTTCGCAAAGAAACTTTCCAAAGACATCTGATCTGTTTCTGACTCATTTTGCTGCTTATGGCTCAGTATTGGCACGCAAGACGTAGCTAATCGAGAGAATCCGGTTAAAGGAGTTTCAAAATAAAAGATCCTCCAGGCTCAAATAATACATAATATGGAAATATTTAATTATTTCTTGTAAGTACTGGTACCAAGTTGGTCCATGGACCGGTAATGGTCCGCGGCCCGGTGGTTGGGGACCACCGTTTTAAAGGATCCAGTATGATCCTTACCAGCAACGTATTACTGTAGATTCATCTTTTCCCTTCTCAGATTCTTTTATTCACCCTTGCCTTTTCATCAATTACAAGGTGACAAAGTAGCAGCAGGGAGGTATTTGCAGCTTGCCACAACACTGTCATTGTAAATACTGGCATCCAATTAATGGGAATAGAGCCAGGGATTTCTTCCTAGAAGAGATTATGTATGGAGGCAGGAGCCGTCACTCTCCTACCTTCAGCGTTCTCTGCTTAGAGAGATGGGTATTGTCAAAACAGCCATGCCTTGAGCTGCTGTGCTTTGCAGCCTCATAAGGAGCTGGTTGGTCTCACTCTCTCAGATTAGACAAGGTATTTTAATGCTGACATTTTGCCTGTTTCAAAGAATATGTTTGTGAAATCCTGCAATGCTTTTAAAGATGTTGGTCATGTCTTGGGTCTCTTCAGTACATTCTGGGAAAGCCACATTTCCAGCAATAGTGACACAAAAGAAAAGCAGGTTTTCACCAATATTAATGAAAGCATCCACAATTTGAAATATTTTTTATAAGTAAAAAATAGAAAAACATAAAGAGTGAATCAGTGATGGTTATTGCATGAATGCTAGTTTCATATATTTCACAAACTCTAATAGTTTTTCTTCTAGGATTACTCTGCATCCACCTTTCTACTGGTTCAGACCAGTTTGCCTGTCTTTGGTAAAGAAGGGCATTTCATAGCATAGTGTTGCCACTATAATGGTTCACAGATGAGATGATGTGTTCATGTTTGTATTTTTTCCACCTGAGTTAATGTATTGCATCTATGCCAAAACTTTAACTCTTTAGGATGTCTCATGGCTGCCTCTCAGTTTAAGTTGACTACAATGTTTTGATAGTTTTGTAGTTCCGTGTTATTTTAATAATTGAATGATGAACTGAGCAGTGTCTGGAGTATTTATCTTATAATCTAAAAAAATCACGTGGGATTGTTAGAGAACAGTGATGGAATTCATGGATATAATTTAGGAGCTAATGATTTCCTGTTAATGTGCAGCACAAATTCTATCTTAAAACAAGTAAAGCTACACCATGACATAATTCATATCACTTGGTTAAATGACTGGGGACATTCTGTCCTCTAACCTTTGGAGAAAAAAACTGCTTTTGATGCTTGCAAAATGTATACTTGTCCAAAACTGAGTTACTCTAAATTCAAGAACGATACATAACTGAATCTTATTTCATACAAAAGAACATTGTTGACTTATGGTTCCTTAGGATTCCAAGAGGGGGCATAGTATGTAGTCAGCAGGCTTCCCAGTGTATCTCTGGTACCAGGTCTTAAGTTTGGCTTAAAAAGCAGCACCCTTTCAAGTTTTGGATGCAGTTTAAGATTATTGTTGGCATGGGTGTCTGTGATCCACTGCGTTCATTACACTCCATTGGCCCAACACTGAAATATTATTTCCTATGATGGACTTCCAAAGCTATTTTTTTTAACACTTTGCTTCCAAGTGGAAATAAGTGAAAAAGCATGCAAAGTCCACATAAAAATAAAACTTTACTACTCCTTTGAGAAATATTCATCAAGTTCACTTCACAAACTTGAAAGAAAGCCTGGATTCCTGCAAAACTTGTGGGTTAATATTTTTAGATTCCTTCTGTCACATGTGCCTTTGGGCAAGAACCCAAGTTTCTTATTGATCGGTATATCAGTGTCATTCACGTGTAAAGAGGTTTTAGTTTAGTTTGTCTTTCAAAGTGCTGCAAAACGTCATATAGTTTACCAACAACCCTCTGTTACATGAGAACCCCTTAAATTAATGACTAATTAATTTGTTGGCATATTATAATTATTTATGCACATGCAAAGAAACACTTTTTTGTATGGGTCACCTGAATCAGGTGTTGCAGTACAGTGCCATCACAGCAGGAGAATGGCATGAAATTGTTATGCTATGGTCTGAGTAAAATTATTCCCAGTGTTAGCATTTTAAGCCAAAATGGATGCCATGATCAAATTACTTTGATTTAAAAAAGTAACATGGGTCACATCATGCATAACTCAAAATTAACTTGCAGGGAGCGAAGCAGTATGAACATAGCAGAGAACAGGAAGAAGAAAGAAAAGAGAGAAATATGGATTACACAGGGATGGCGTTTACTGACAAAAGGAACAGGTGAGGTTGATTACCTGAACAGCTGTGGGGGAACATGAACTGGTGGGAAATTACAAATCACCTGTGAACAAAAAAAAAGAAGGTGAAAAATATGTAAACTAAACATAACTAAACTGATGAGACACATGAAAACAGGAAAAGGTGCTACAGGTAAAACAGCAAGTAAATAGAAATTAATAAACAAAATAAATCAGATGACCAAATTAAAATAGGAGCAGGGTAAGTTACAAAGTTAACAGAAACACCTGCTAAACTTCACAGCAGTTTTTAAGCACTCATTGAACAGAATATGGAGCCTTTTTGAAGTCTATGCATTTTATGAAGTGACCCAAATTTGACAAATTTGGCTTTGTTCGTAAACAAAGCTACAAACAAAACTACCGCCTGGTTTCAGATAGCTAGAAACCAGGCTATCTGGTTTGCTAGCCTTCGGCTAGCTAAAAATGCAAGGCACTTGTAGCATGCTAACTGAAGTTTTAAAGCACTGTTACCTAAAAGAGAAGTGATGAGTGGTGCTCTGTCATTTGCCACACCATATCTTTTTGGTTACTTGATAAGCAGAGACATTTACAAACAGCCATATTTGTCCTTGTAAGCAAAGCATAGCAGCCTTCTGTTAGCCAGCTTACTGACAGTGCAGAAATTTGAAAGGGAGCAATGCTGTGTTCAACCGAGCACCATAGAGAAAACTTTGGTAACTGACATTTTCTGTGGCATCTTAGAAATAATTTTAATCTGTTTATAACCAACCTGATGAACCATTTCTAAATCCAGATCTTTTCTAAAATCGTTTTTGTGTCTTGATGCCAAATAGTTGACGCATAATAAGAACAGCAAGAAAATACTTTCAAGATGTGTTGCTTAATTAAATGTATCACACACATTTAAATACTTTTAAGAAGTGAAAGAGAGTGGGGGAAAAAAAAACATTAATTAGTAGAATCCATGGCAGATGAGAAGACAGACTCAAGACAGATTCAAGGCCAGGAAAACATGGACAGAAAATGAAAATCCAAGAGGCTGTGCAAAAAAATAAAACAATAAATAAACTAACTGATGAGGCTTTTATTAACTGAGACTCAGAGACAAAACATAAATAAAGATGGATAATAACTTTTAGATCAGAACGCACTACAAAGACAGCTTTAAACTTCTCTAGCAACTTTCAGTGGCTTTGTAACTTAGTTCATAATCATGGAATAATGATTTACTTAGCTTTCAAAAAAAGTCAAACAATCATGCACATTTTCTGCCCTACAATTGCACAGCTATACGTCAATATCTTGTGGATTTCTCTGCAAACTTGTCTTTGCTGCCATGTGCCACAACATTTAGCATGTCAAATGGCTGAGTTGAAGCTGTGCAGAGAAGAAGGATTTTGTATGTCTCCCAGGCCTCTTCATGCTGTAAAATCTAATAGTCCTCCTGGCAGCCTTTTTCTCATCCCTTCTTCCGTTCCCTCCCCACGTCAGACAGCTGAGGATGGGTGTAGCCTCAATGTGAAGTGGGCGAATGCTGAGCGCCTGTGTGGCTGGCAAAGCATTGTGCCAGCAGTACACAGAGGCTGGCAGCCTTGAGCTGTCCACCCACTCCTGATCCTGTTCCTCTGAGACTCGACTGCCGACTAAGCCCCCCTTTTTGCTTCTGTTCAGACGCGCTCTCATTTTCAGGTATATGGATCGTTTCCATCCATCTTTCCAGGCCTTTCTGAGCGTCTTTTTTTTTCAGTTATCATTTAAACTGGTACTTATGCAACCAGTCTGGTTAAGGGATTTTCATTTTTGCCTAGCAAAATTTCAAAAGCTTTAAATTAAGATCCTTTATGCGTTTGTACAGTATTGTCGAAAAGCAAAATAAGATGGATGACAAACATTGAGTTTAGTTGTAAACAAGATTTGTTTCTTTATAATATTACTAAATATATAAAAGTCAATGAAATCTTGCTTTGGTCATGTGACAGCTTAGGGCTTGCTTTACGTATTTTATTCCAATGCAAGCAAAACTTCACCAGCTGGTCTATTTGAGTGAGACTGTGGTAGAGGACAATTAATTAGGAGGTGAAAGCTTCCTGAGCGATACACAGTGCTGATGTAATGATCAGTGACACACGAGGCAGCGTGCCATCCCAGTGTAAAGACGTGTCTGGCTCCGCAGGCAGATTGTTTGGGAAAATTTCAAGTGCTTGTTAATGTGCAGTGTTGCTCAGCCCTCAGATGTGTTGACTGAAACTGGCGAAGCACTGCAAAAAGCAGAGCAGCGTGCTTGAAAGCAACAAGTTCTCCATTAATGCTTTTCACAAGCTTAGTTGATGTATTGCACCGGATACCAATCCTGCTACTCCTCATTTACTTTCTTTTTTTACCATGGGAAATACTCCTAGCTCAATGATTTTGTGTTCAGCTGTGTCTCTTTGCTAGACAGTTATTGATGGAGCTCTTGCTGCCATTAACTTTCTGTAATTCCTGATCTTCTTTCCTATAAAATGTGCTGAGTGTTCATTGCTTCTATAAAAGTGTCTTTATTAAGTGCATATGTATGTTTGGGGGGAGAGAGCTTAGGGGAAAGGGTGTATGATAAACTGCGATTGTCAACTATTGTATCTCCTCTATGTTTATTCTTCTGCAGAGTATCCTGGGCTTAGTGGGTCTTAGTTTAACTAACTCTCAAACATATTGCTAGCTTTTACTTGGTTTTTCTTTAGAGGGCAACGCTGTCTCAGTGCTTAGTTATTTTTCTCCTCATTGGACTCCATGGCAGCAATATTTTGGTTATTTAATTTTTTTTTACATTGTCTTGACTCTTCCAAATATAGTAACTCAAATGGCACTTAAGTTGCAAAATTTATAAAGCTTCAGACTTAACTTAGAGTTGTCCTCCAAAGAGTTGAGACTCGACTTGTCATGTCAATCTTATTAAACTTTTAATCTTCATGTGAAGATTAAAAGGAAGCCTGAATATGTTTGATTATTTGCCAACAGAATTGGTGGATTGCACCAATGATTCACAACAATCTGTTTATCTGCAGCTTTGTGATAATGACCAATTGAATCTCTTTCCAAAGGAATGCTGTATTAAATGACATATATCGTTTCAGAACAAAATAAATGCAACCTCTTTATTACCTCTTCTCAAAGTTAAGCTAAGTGTAACTTTATAAGAACACTTCTGACTGGAAAATAAAAGCTGTGGTTGTGTTTTTCTCCTGGATGGAGCCGTTGCTGCCATTAAGATTCGATATTCTCCTTGAATTTATTTCTCCCAGAAAGTCACCCTGCCTCAGTGTTTGGATGTTTAGCTGCATCTCTTTTGTTGACTATGCTTTTTGGTCTCATTTACATTATGAGCTCTCCGTTTTTCATTTCCATATAAATCACCCCTGGCTTAGTGGTTCTGTGAGGACCTGTCTCCTTCCTGTTTTCTTCACTCCAGCAGGTCATGGCAGGTTGACACTAATATTGAATATGGTTATGTAATAAGTTTCATCCGATGAGTAGGGAGTGGTTCCTTTCTGTAGTTGCTACTTGCTTGATCATGCTCAGAGATTCTTGCAAAGTGATGAAATCGGATGGGCTTTTGTAAATAAATACATTTTTACATTGTGGCGTCAGATAAGCACTGAAACTGCATCTTAATTTGGAGTGAATTGGATCTGAATAGAACTGTATGAGTGGAAAATATTGAATTTAATGAAATTCAGTATATTTTTATATCAATTTGACCTGTTTGCCTTGTGGTGAATATGAGCTTTTGAATTGACTCAAAACTCAAAACATGGCTTTTGATCGCAACTGTTTGTTAGAATAAAAGCAAAGTGAGGTATTCAAAAGACTGAATTATTTGTCCTGGTGTAAAAAATAAACTTGTCTTTTGGTTAAAGCAGCTCATGTGCAGAACAAACTGGGAGGAGAAGAAGATAGTGTCATGTTTCGGTCCCTATTTCATTTTTACCCAGACTAATAAAGTTACATTATTATTGTAATGTGTCTGCAAGCTGGGTGGGTTTGAAATGAAGGGAAAAAAAGTTTCTGTGTGAATCACCTGTCTCACTGCCTCCTTCCTGCCTGCTCCCTCATCAGCTGCTGTCTTTGTCTCTCCCTCCCTCACTGTATTTTTCCCAGACTGAGGCGTCCATGGACCCTCTGGCTCCGCTGCCTTCATTACAGACTTGGAGCGCTCTGACAACTTTCTGAACCCTTTGCTTTGGAGAGGAGGGGAAGCGAAAGACGAGCACTTGATGGGACATAGCGCTGGAAGCACCAGGAGGCTCATCTGGAGACTAGATCTTGACTTTCAAACAGAGATAATCCCCCTCCTCGGGCCATGACAGGGCAACTCCTCAGCCTTCTGACCCTTCTGGCTCTGCTGCTCTTTGTAGGGTTTGCAGAACTCAGCCTTTCCCCTATTGAAGAGGACGAGGATAACTACATGCAGGAGATGCTCACAAGGGAACGGTACAATCAAGTTAGAATGCCGGAGAAGTTAATTTCCTCGACAGCCAACGCACACGGAGAACCGAAACAGAAGCCAGCACGGAAAATGCCTAATGGAGAGATGGGAAATGACAAGAAGACAGATAAAATCAGTGATTCTACAAAACCAGGTAAAAACAGGCAACTTCAAATAGTGCTGCATGGAAAACTTAGGTTCTGGTGAAACTTTCTCAGCAAACTTCTATGAAACAGTGTTGCCACTAGATGACAGTGGATTACCATTTCATATTGTCAATGGCTAGTGTTTAAGTAGACATACCAGTGTAACTACGTTGCATAAGTTAAATATGCTTCCAACCAAACTTCAGTAAAAGTATTAATGCAATGTTTTCTATTGCTAGTTTAAAATAATAAAAAAAAACAAATAAAAACTTAGATATATTCATGTGAAATTAACTACAGATGATAAAGTCAGAGTGACATGAATTTATATTTTCTTTAGAAATTAATGACCTCCTTTATAATCCTCTCACTCCAAATGTGTGTAGGTGAAAGTGATGTTTCTGTTTCCAGCAGGGTCATAAATTCTTTGCAAGGCAGACGGTGCTGAAGCAGAAGTAATATTCACACAGCAGAAATGTGCACCACAAATGTCAGCATATGAAAAAAAACCTGCTTGCTGATTGGTGAACACTGAGGGATGTGATGGTATCTGTTGTTAGCAAGCATATAGAGTTTGAATGAAGTCATGCTGACCTCATGTAGCAGGCATGTGACTTTACATGTTTCAGCAGGGAAACTGTCTGCAGGTGGGACTGTGGGTAGAGGATTAAAGAAAAACTTGCTTCTCCCTTCTTTCTTGATAAAAACAATGTTTCCTTTGGTGTCGTTACAACAAATAAATACAGCGTTGATATGCTGCGCTATTAACTGTCAGCAGCATAAAATAACTAATATATGTGTAAATTGGCTAATCCCAGAGGTTGTCAATAGTCCAATTGTTGGATTTTTTAGTGACTCCTCACTTTAGATTCATAACCAAGTTGGACAGGAAAAAAAATACTTAAAAAAAACTGAGAACATATGGTGCTTGAAAGAAGTCGAAGGACATGTGAGTATGTGTACACATACCACTGAAAAAAATTAAATTTTACAAGGCTTTGCACACAGTAGGTGCATATAATAAAAACAAAAACAATAATCTTCAGGCACTTTGTAGGAAAAAATCGTACAACTTCATGTAGTTACAATAAATTATAAAATTATAGTTAAACATAATTTTAGCTTCCAATGTCTACTTAAACAAAAAAAAAAAAAACCTAAATGGCAGGAAACAACCAATCTTATTTGTCAAATCTAATAAAGGAGTCACTTTTCTATAATGTGAAGGTAATTGTATATGCAGTAGCGTGGCCTCTTAATGAAGCGTTCCCTCAGGGTTTTTGAAAACCACAAGCATTAAGTTCAGTTTTGTTACTTGAGCACAGACAGAATTCTTTTCAAAAAAATTTTTGGAGCCAAAATGGCATTGATCCATATCGCTCAACTCAAATATAATGAAATGCAGGAAGATAAACTGCCTGATGCACCTTTCATTAATTAAAGCTGAAGTGTTTTCATTACCTCTAAATTAAAAGTTCCGCATCAGATTAATATATTTTTAATGTTCAAACTGTTTTGTAAATATAATTCTAGTCTTTACTAATAGATCCACTTGAACAATGCGCAATGTCTATCATCTCAAACTGGTGAGTGTTTATTTGATCAGAAAATGAGCTCTTATGTTGAATGTAATCTAGGAGTTTATTACTACTCCTGTGTCATTGCTAGGCATTGAAGTGTTCAAAAGTAATGACAAACTAACAAAGTAACTTTGTAGATCATGTGATTTTGTCTCTGACGATTTTGGTTCAATGAAAATTAGATTTTTTTGAGTTTGAAAATGTGAGTATATAAGCTACAGTCACGCCATCCTGCAGTTTTGCGTGATTTTTTTATTTATGGCTCCAATTGAGGAACTCAATACAAAGGCATTCCATAGTTTCCAGATTTTTATGGGTACAACATTTTGAAAATCTTGCATAGTTGTATTTTTTGCACCAAAGTTATGCTTAACTTTATGTTTGGACCTTCACACAAAATTCTGATACAATGGAATATAGTTAGAGGTTTTAATGAGGCAAAAGTGCAACAATGTTGGCATACATTATGAATATTTCTGTGGACAAATGTAAATTTTCTGTCAATCTAAATGTATGAGGTTTATATTGATTTACCCATAAGATTTTGCATTCTTTTATCACAATGGTCTCTGACAGTGCTGATGCCACATCCACTTGAGTGAAATGCGGCTTTCTTGTTTCTGCTTTGAGTTACCATACAGCTAGAAAAGACCAAGTTGTATTTCAGATGCAAAAAAAGCAATACTATGAACATTGTTGTCTTCCAAATATAATGAGGTTTAAAGTTTTTATGGATTTTCAAGCGATCCTGAACTAAAAAGATGGTGGCTCGTAAATATTCATCACTACCAGTTATTCGTCGCACAGTAAAGTTTGCAGCCTTCACTTCACCCCGGATCAGCTTCTTCAGCCTAAAACTACCAGGGGGAGACAGATGGTAAATAAAGGAGCCGCCCCTGTGTTATTTCTATGGAATCACTTCTGTATTCAGTCTGAAAGAGCCAATGAATAGGAACAAGTGAGCAGCCCAGAGCCAGACAGCCAAGTAACTGATCTGCATGCACATCCTGCTGTAAATACCATCCTATTTGAATTTTTAACAAGAAGCATGCAAAAGTAATAAAACAAAATAATAGAAGAAACACAGCCACATTTTTCTAAAAGCAACAACTTTGAACCTGAACAGTCAACTGCACTAGAACTCTGACACCAAAGCTGCTCTACTGTTAAGCCACGGGGCTTGGTGTGCTTCCTCATGCTTCGGAAGCAAAAAGCCCAAACCGTAATTTCCCCCGTTACTTGGTCTCTGTTTGACACTAACGACAATAAACTCACATAATACCCTTGAAAATAAGTCCAAAATAAGGTAAAAATCATATTTGTCTGTTTGAATTAATTAAAATGTTTAGATACTTAAATAGCACATTTGTATAAGAAAAATGTCCAAGAATATTTGCTACTAGCTTAAGCAAAAGTTAATATTAGCCACAAAGTTCAAAGAAAGTAAAACCCACCTCGTATATGTGAATGTATAACGAGGCGTACATCTTAAAACCTTTCTCTAGCTTACTTGTTGGGGCTTCAGATCTATCGTTGATTGTTACGTTGGGCAAGTCGTGCAAGAACCTAGTGTAAAATGCCATTTTCAGTAGACCGGAAGCGACTGAGCCGCTTGTCCCTGAACACGGAAACTGGCGTGCAAAGAGCCCATAAGCTTCCATGACAATTCATCACATGCAATTTTTATAGGGGTACAGCATTGAAGAAAAGGCTCTCACACTTCTCACAAAACCTTAGAAGATGATTTATACAAGTTTATATAATACAATAAAATATGGAAAAAAGTTGGTAAGTGGACTATTTTAAATCTTTTGTCATTTTCGCAGTGAAAACACCCAACAGAAAGACAGTGAAGAACAAGAAGAGCTCCCTGAAAGAATCAAACATCATCTCAGAAGGAGTCGCAGAGTTCAACTCAATGACAGAGGGTGAGTGAAAAACCAGAGCTACTTGCTTGTTGAGGAAATTTATTGAGCTCATAAAATCTACCTTTCCTCCAAAGAGCCAGAAACCTATTTCCATCTCCACAGGAACTGTTAAGATGGGATAACAGGGATTCTTGCAGAGATTCTTACAAATATTTTGGAAAGGTGCAATGATCTGGGAAAAACTATTTTTACTTTGAGGAAGGTTCTGGTTAACTAAATAATGCTCTGCAACATGGATTTCAACCACAGAGGCGCTAATGTCATCTTTGGCTGTAAGGTGTTGTGTTTAGTTGCAATAAATTTGCAATAAATGGGTTGCAATAAATTTGCTACACTGAGAACAGATACCTCAGTAGCTTTTCTTGGACTCTTCTTTACTAAACGTGCAAAGCACAGGTGCAAAATACTTGTAGCTTTTATAGTATGAGGATTAATAGCATTATGGATTATGTGTAATCGGATTAATTTCTATCCTTTTATGAGGTTCATCTTGTTCGTTCTAAATGCACCTTCCACTTTGTAACTACATTTAATATCAGTACAAAATGACTATATTAAATATCACTTAGTAAGTTATAACTAATTACATTTAACTATTTATAGTGATATGTAACTACATATTAAATGTAAATTCACTTAATATGTAACTATTAAATGTTATATATTAGATGTAAGTACATTTAATATGTAGTTACTAAGTGGAAGGTGCATTTATAACATAAGATAAACCTCCTAACCGGAGATAACTCAATGTTTTTTTTCTGATGACAGGAAATCTTGACTTGGCATCTAACTCTTTTGACTCCTGCTTCTATTACAAGAATTAAGACATTGTGAAAGAAAACTCACTGAACCTTTTAGTTTACATTCAAAATGCTGTGTATGGCTGAAGTGTGGTGGTGGTAGCCTCATGCTGAACATATTCTCAATTGATAGGACTATGGGATAGTCTAAGTAAAAAATTCTGGAGGAAAAACTTCTATGGTTTGAAAAGATGTGATCTATCGTTCACTTTCCAACAGTCAACAATCGTAAAACCATTTAAACTAAATAATTAATTTCAGTGGTTTAAGCTAGACAACATAATGGTTTAGTTTAAAGCATTCAAGACATATATATGTGTTGAAATGACCCAAAGTCCAGAGTGAAATCCAGTTGAAAATATGAGGCAATACTTTAAAATAGATGTTCACAGGTAATATTCTTTTAGTCTTAATTAGATCTATGTTGCAAAGAATTATCATAAATGACACACCACACTTTTCAGATTTTCATTTGCATAACATTTTAAAAACTGTGGATACTTTTTCTTCCATTAGAGAACTATGCATGATTTCGAGCTACATAAAATCCCTTAAAGTATGTAGACATTTTTGGTTGTGGCAGAATAAAATGCGAAAACGTTTAAGGGGTGTGAATAGTCTTGCTTTCAGGATAGGAACATTGGTTCTATGACATCAAGAAGCTTTCCACTTAGTTTCATATTATACATTTTTATAGGAAACGATATGAAAATATAATACATTTTGCATGTTTGGCTTTTAGGTTTTTTTTTGGTGTCTTCTACTGTTCTCAGAAATTCACAACATTCAAATCTGTCAAGAACTCTTTGTTTAAAGGTAGCTTAAAGTTTCCACTTAATGAACAACATACAATACATAATCAATAAACGCGAAGCATAAAAATGCCTCCAGATGTTGAGAAAATAACTTGATCTCAATAGCCTGAGTAACCTCTGAGTGGACTGACATCCCAAGAGCCTTATAGGAAGAGATAAATGTCAGTTTTTCTAAAATATGATTCATATTACACGTTATTGTTGAAGCCAGATGCTTTATTCCTGTGTGGGTCTGCCTGAATTGTGCACAGATGTTGAAAATGATTTAGGGCTTTGCAGCATGGCAGAAACACATCTGCTTTGTGTGAGTGTATCTGTGGAGCTACCCTTGTTGCTTTGGCCCTTCTTCAGGGCTAAGGCTTTGTCAAACATGTGAATGGCAACTGTAGTGTTCATTTAAAAAAATTCAAAAATTAGATTGTATGAATTTTTCTGCTTTTTCTTTTGGTTTATTAATTAAACTTTACTCCAGTTTTAAACAAATAACTAACCATTCTCTAAATAATTGTGTGTTTTTTTTGCATTACATGCTGTCTCTTCCTCATAGAAATTTCCATTGCTTGTCCTTGCGCAGCTGTTTCATCATTCCAGTAGTTTATTCCAAACTTGAATGAATAAAATCTGTAAAAAGCAAGCCCAAAGCCACCTCATGTTATACACAGGGAGTTCATTTGAGAAGGGAGTCCTGGCCGTGTGACAGCGACATGTGCGGCATGTGCTGCATGTACAAACAGACCAGCGTTGAATCGGAAATTCTTCCTCTGATGTTCCATTTCTGTGCTCTGGCTTGATCTAACGCAAAAGAGCTGCCGACCCGCAGAGATTTCACACGTCAACTTTGATTTGCCCATTTGGCCCTATTGGTTAACATCCACTGTAGTGTAAAAAGATGAGAGATTCCTACACAAAGAGCTGCATTTAGTCAGCACCATCTCAGTTTCTGCAGTCACTTAAATGCTGGAGTTTGCTCAAACAAACTGCAACTCCCTCCGGCATGAAAGGAAAACCTTTTCGGGCATGTGCAATTTTAATTTCTTCAGAAGTATTGTTTTCCAGAAGTTTTTTCATAATAAAGACTTGCCAGACAAATTTAGGAAACAAACTATAACGGTGTCGGCTACTCATTCATGCCTTCATAACTCAGCTAGGATATCTTTAAAGATGGCTGCATGACGGAGTGTGATTGTATAGAGTTTTATTGCATTGTTGTAATGTAGCAGAGTTACATTACAACAATGCTGATCTGGGCATGGCTTGACAATTTTTGTGGAGGGTACCCCATAGCATTTCCAGTGCTGAGTGAAGTTACAGAGCCTTGCAAAAGTATCCATACTCCTTGAATTTATTTTAAGCATTGTCATTGATGACAGACGTAAAGGATTTTTTGTAGATATTGTGTGATAAACCAACACAAAGTAGAGCAAAATTGTGAAGTGTGAGGATAATGATGCACAATTCCCAAACTTGTTACAAATAAATATCTGAGAAGTGTGGCTTGAATTTGTTTCCAGCTTACCTTTAGAAGTAATTACAGTTTTGGGGGCATGTCTCCCCAAAAACATGCAAAACTGGTAGAGTTTTGCATATATACAAAACTCTACCAGTTTTGTACATATGCACACCAAGTCTTTTACTCTTTTTCATAAATGGTAGCTAAAACACAGACTGGATAAAGAGCAATTGTAAACTGAGATATTTTACTGAGCTATTTTAAGACATGAATATATTTTGATCTAAACCACTGTTTCTCAATTTGAGTCCTCAGGTGTCACTTCCCTGCATGTTTTAGATATTACTCATTCAAGTCAGGTGTCTGCCACACATCTGACTCGAATGAGTGGTGATTGATAAGATTATGCGGTTTTTAATAGCATGCGATCATTTGAATCTGGTGTTCTGGAAGAGAGACACATCTAAGATATGCAGTGGCCTCAAATTGTTTTAAAATGTATCAGTTCGACTCAACTTTATTTTTCTTCTATGAGTGTTGCCTACATTACTGATTCTGTTTCAGCACAAACTAAAGCTCCAAAAGCAAGTTATACTAAGTTGCATTTTGCATAAAGTGCTGATTTAGTCAGCTCAACAATTTAATTCAGGTGGTGGCTTGATGAACTTTAGTAAATGTGGATTCCAAAATTCTTAGGTCCACAAATATTCATAATGTTAAATTGATGATCGTCAATTTAACATTATGTTAAATTGACGATATTGCATATTTTGGAGTATGCAACAGTTTAATCAAGATCAAAGTGAAGCTTACCACCACAAGATTCACTTTTCTTCCTGCAGACCCCATTTTTTTGTGGTATAAGGTTGGATATTTTTGGCATCCGAAAAAGCACTGCAATGAGTGAATAATACTCTTCTATTGGCCTGAAACCTTCACTAAATTAGCATTAGAGGGAAGCTGCCTGATGACAGAGTGCTGAGTGCAGCTGCTGGCTGCTTTTTCCCCTCATCTCTAGCTCACAGTGCAAAAGTGTAAAATAGTCATTACTGCTGAAATAAGCTTTCATGGTTCCTGGTGACAGAGGCTGTCGTACACTCTATATGCAGATATAAAGTGTATAGACTAATGCATATTATTACATGTAGTATTAACATCAGAGGCCAATTTGTCTTTTCTCTTTGCCTAGAATGCCCTCCCATGGGACTGGAGACTTTGAAGATTGATGACTTCCAGCTTCACGCTTCGTCTACGAAACGTTACGGTCTTGGTGCACACAGAGGTCGTCTTAACATTCAGGTAAAATGGGAATGTAAAGTGCTTCTATATCTTAGCCAAGCTTAATGGATATGTTGGGGCTTGCATGATAACGTAGGATGTCTCATGTTTCCTTGATGTTTCCAACTTTCAGAAATTCAAAGGTAAACATGGCTGAGGAAAGGGTTATCTCAGAAGGCATATCTCATAAATGCCTTCTCATTTCAGTTTATAAAGCTCTTAAAGGGGATAAATCATTGCATTGCAACTGTTGAACTGTGTGAAGGCTTGAAGATCACATTTGTTTTATTAAGTTACCTGCCCAAAATTGAGAAACAACTTGTGAACACAAGGCATTGGAGAAGGCAGTCAAATGTTGCTTGAGTTACGACCCTCAAATATGAGATACCAAAATCAGAGTTCAGTCAATGAAGTCTTTAACCAAGTATTTACTATTTAAAACAGAATTCTAGAAATCTAAATGGAAAAATAGAAAATCTATTGACATGAAACATCTTGTTTTTTATGGGTTCCAATCTTTGGGCAGTCTTTGTCAAACTGGGGCCTGGCAGAGATATTTTAAAGGATTCTGTGATGACTCTAGTTTGCATGGAAATTTGCTTGATTTAGGTGCATGTGTGGCATTTTTGACGGGCCTATTTTTCCCCATTACACTCCCTGCAAGTGGCTTGTGCCTCTGTTTATAAAGCCCTGCTATAAAAGCTAACAATAAATGATATTATTGCCCTTAAAATCATGCTGCATATCCCAAGACCTACCAAGGAGATGTTGTTTAAAGGAAGTCTTCTTGGTTCCCAAATTGAACTGCTCCAAATCCAGCTCCAGAAGTGATGAAATACACAAAACACATGGTCTTAATTCAGAAAAACAATGGACTTGTTGTCTTTTGGATGTGAACATTTGTGTGCTAACGTGAACAGTTCAAAGGAGGACAGAGATTGTGCCAGAAGAAACACATATTGAGCAGATGTTGAAAGGATTAGTTTGAGTTTGGCCAGTTTTCAGTCTGTTTGGTTTATTTCCAGTTATGTTGCGACAACAGTTTGTTTGGATTCCAGACACCAACAGGGCGGTAATAAATATTTTCCTATCAAGATATGACAAAGAAACACAAAGTTTGGAAACTGTTATAAAGCCTCAACAGAATGGATGAGTAGAATGGACGTCTCCATCTTGATGTTGTGGTAATCCCAACAAACAGAATCTGCAGCCAGAATATAAGAATAAAAACAAAGTCGAAAACAGAATAACCCCAGTCTTTCATCTATTGTGCCATGTGCTCCATCCAATTTTAATCTGTGCTTTGTATTTCTTTCTTATCACATCTAAAGAACGTTCTTTGTGCGTTACATCATAGCACATAAATTAATATTTCCCAGAAAAATTATTACATAATTTCACAAAAGAAAACTTTTTTTGTTTGTTTGTTTTTAAACAAAACTTGACTTTTCAATAGTGCAAAAGGGTCCACACTATCGTGGTGAAAATGCCATGTTGACATGTCCCCGACGCTCTCCACAAAGTTATAAAAAAAGTAATTGAGACAGACTCTAACTGTTCACAGACTGTTGCATCATGTGTGCTAATAGATTGTTTACAGGAAGGGATGAGTGTGGCTGAAGATGAAAAGCAGGGAGGTGATCCTGGAACATCAGCCATATAAATTCAAAGCTGATGCACAATGGTGTGAAAGGGTATTATAACCAGATAAAATCAAGTGTCTCTCAGTTACTTCGAACAACTTGGTCTTTCACAATGGTAATAGTGTCAAGAGTAACAGGAATTTATAATGAAGGACACAGAAATGGCTTTAGAAAGTAAAAAGGAGAACCTGGTAGTTTCTAAACATAAACCCAGAAAGTCTCTGTTGTGTCCAGAAAACGGTTGTCTACTGACCAGAGTCGAAGAGTTTTCGTCCAGAAAAATTAGAAAAATTTCCAAAGTATAGAGTTTTATGACACTTGGCACTATTAGCCACCGTTTTGAAGGCTGCTATTGTTGCCAAATGAGCATTAGTCCTAAATGAAAGCGTTGACCATTGTGAAATAAAAGATTTCACATTCAGAATGACTGCTTTTGCTTTGTCAGTGTTTGGAATCGATTTTTTTATATATGAGAAAAAAGTTGAATCCACTTAGAAATAAGTAGAAACCAGAGTCAGTACAGACATTCTGTTCTGTCTCTGAACACTGAGTTCCTTTATATTAATAATAAAAAACAATCTATCTGCTTTTGAGCCATAATAAATGGAACAATGACCAACATATTTGATGTGTATTGAGGATTTTGACAATGTCTCTTAACAAAATGTAATGTATTGGTTTTCATGACTGTTGACTATATGATGCTTTTATGATGTTTCTCTTTCTTTCTTTTTTTCGGATTTTACAAAATAAAGCACTTTAAACTGCCGTGTTGGTGAAATGTTATATAATACATATAGAATGCTATACAAATAAACTCGATTGATTGGGTGTGGAAAACTGGATAAGACTGAATACTTTTTATACACTACTTATTTATTTATTTATTTTTATTCATAATCAAAATTTGTGCTCCAGTGAAGAAAGAGAATGTGCATAAAATTAGACAATCATAAGCTAGAATGACTTGGAGTTTTGCAAATATCGTAACTTCAGGCTGCACCATAGCTAAATGGTATATTTGATTTAACAGTGACATGTTGGTTGTTGTGGCTTCTGGATGATTGTACTATCTGCACTTATCTGCAGGCTGGACTTTATGAAGACGACCTGTACGATGGGGCCTGGTGTGCAGGGAGGGATGACCCGCTTCAGTGGTTGGAAGTGGATGCCAGGAGACTGACAAAGTTCACGGGGGTCGTCACCCAGGGCAGGAGCTCCCTCTGGTCGTGAGTAGGCATGCAAAAAGATTTGCAAATTGTTGCACAGTCATAATATTATTATTGCTTATTAATTATGAGCAAGGTGCCATTTATCTTTGTTAGGTTTATTTTAATAATCAGCATGCAATGGATTTCAATTATTGTCTTTTTTTTATACGTGACAAAAAACAGTAAGACACACAAACAGGCTAGAAAAATCCAATATGAATTAAAATGTTTATTGTGACAAAATTAGAGACAGTGCCTTTCAAAAGTATTCAAACCCCTTTAACATTTTCACATTTTGTTTTACAACAGTAAATTCAATGATTGTATGGTTCTGATTGTGACCAACACAGTGTGATATATGTGTGTTAAGTAGACATAAACCAATACATGGTTTCCTACATTATTACAGACTAAGTGATTACTCATTTGCTTATTCACCCCTCTAAGGCAAATCAAGCAAATGTCATCGCAATTACTGCTTGCCAATAACAAGTCTAACACAAACCCAAACACGGTGAGGCGCCAAATATCTAATTAAATAGCATAATTTCCCAGTGACTGAGGCATAAACACCAGTGGTGGAGACAACCGGCAATTATTGCTGCAGACTCTAAATGACTGTGTTTCCTTTTAAGCCTAGTGGAAAAATTGACAGCACAAATAAATATGGTAAAGGGTTTCAATCCTGCCCACAGAGTGCGGGACCTTCGCTTGTGTGTGCCCTTTTCACAAGCCATTTCTGATCTTCTCGCTGTAGGATTAAGGAGTTACAGATTTGATTGATTTGGGTGCGAACTCGCTCTTTCATAAATCTCAAAAGGTCATTACATTATTAAAATAGTGCTGAAAAAAGAGGTTCTGAAGCATTCAGAGTTTCATGAGAGTGTAGAGGGACGATAGAAGATATTTGTTCTGTAAATATTTTTGAAATAATTTGCTCATATTCACAAATAGTGAATATGAGCTAACTATTTCTATTTTGTACTGTGCCTATAAATACTCCCAATTGGATGTCTTATACTTTTTATTGCTTTTACAAAACTTTCCTGTTAAAGCAGAAACTGATTTCCACCAATAATAATTAAACAAAAAATATTTAACATAGAATAGGTGATTGAATAAATATTTAAGCCATTCAAATCAATATTTAGTAGATGCACCTTTGACAGCAATCACAACACAGAGTCTGTGTGGACAGGCCTTATTCATGCTTACACATCTGGACACTGCAGTTTCACTCCATTCCTCCTTGCAAAACTGTTCAAACTCTGTCAGATTGCATGGGGATTGGCTGTGAATGTCTCTTTTCACTCCAAAACATCCACCTTGTTGCCTTCACACCATTTCTGTGTAGTTTTAACTGGATGCTTTGTGTTGTTGTCTTGCTGGAACATGCAGCTATTATTCTCTTGCAGATGGAAACCAATTGCTCTCCAGGATTACTTTACTTTTGTTGCATTCAGTTGGTGAAGTCCACACTGGACAGGTCACTAGTCCATTGCAGGATGCTCTCATTTTTATGTTTTATGTTTTATTCAATTGTCATCGTCCTTGTGGGAGTCAGTTTTCACCTTGACAGTAATTTTTGTGTTTGAAAAGCCAAATTTTATTGAATGTGATTTGTGAAGACAGTAAAAAGGCTACAAAAATCCTAGAGGGTGAATTCTTTTTATAGGCACTGTAAAGGTTTACAGATCGTAAACCTATGGATTTATAAAAACCCAAGTACGGACAGTTTTCCCTTCCTCTTCTTACAATAATGTATTCGTACAAAAAATTATTTTCCTAATATAAATGCCTGTGTTCAGTGCTGCCTAATACTGCAGGAAATTCATTATTAAAAGTCTCTGAGGCTCCAGTCCAAGACTTCCTTCTGGTGCCAAAGACGGCACCTGGTGCACATCACACACCACTGTGAAGGGCTCTCTTCTAGAGTGACACCTGCTGGTTTTTTAAAGTTTCACACAACATCTTTAGTAACAACAACAAAAAAAAACCTAGATAATTTTTTATTTGCTTTAAAAGTCAGACATTCTTGAGAGCTTCTAAAGTAGTCCAGATGAGGAGTTTTGTAGGTCTTATGATGGTATTTTTCTTTGAACTTAAGCTGTTTTCTCTCAGCATGTTGTGCATTATACGCTTTTACAGATAGCAGGGCTCCTTTTCTGTATGGAAAGGCGTGGAATTTCAAGCATTCACAATTCACACCTACAGATGTCCTCCATGAAAAACAATAGTTACTCATATGTAAATGTATATTTTACTCAATCTAAGTAAAAGTTATATAAATTAATTACAGTCAGGGGGACATATTTTAAGATTTTATTTATGGGTTAGTAAAAAACCAAATCCTGTTTGTTCAGAAATGAGAATGTTACGTGCAATGTTTGTCCATCTACAAAGCCTACTAAAAGTATGCCATGCAATGTACGGTGCATACTTACATCTTGGCTGAGACACCTTTTTGCACGTATTAGTGCTTGGTAGCATGAATGCAATCAGGTTGTACCTCTACTGGTCCTAAAGGAAGCCCAAGTTGCTTTAATAGTGGCCTTTCGTAGATTCTTTGTAGATTCTCTGAAGGCGTTCTATTAGAGGACCATTAGTGCTAAATGAAGGCCTTCAGAGGCCAGTTTACTGGCCTTTGGAGGCCAGTAAACTGGCCAGTTTACTGGCCAATTAAACTCCGTAAAACAATTGTGGTTAAACTAGGCAGTGGTACTTTTGGCAGTGTCAGCCTTCACCAAGTTCTGCAGTAAAATGAAAATTTTCAGAAAGGTTATAAACCCATTTAACAGGGATCTCTAGAGTTCTCTAGCTGCCGTTCATCCGCGCAGTAAACCAACATCAGCAGATGGCATGACACCCCAAATCAACACTGACTTTGAGAACTTCACAGTGGACCTAATGCAGTTTGTATTCTCTCCACCTCCCCTCCAGACTATTACTCCTTGATTTCTCAATGAAAAGGATAATTTACATTTCTCTGAAAACTTGTATAAGAGCTAAAGAAAATTACTTACAATTTCATCCTTAGCTCAGATAAGATATCTCTTTAGGGTCGAATTTACCCCAACATACATTTTTCTCTGCCCCTCAAGTTTCATAATAATAATAATCTCTGGGAACAGAGACCTTTTGTTGCTTACATGTCAGTCACTGTCTGCTGGACACCTGTCTTGTCAGAAGTCTCCATCATGATTGTGTCGAACACCATATAATATTTCTGTTTTGTTTGTTAGTTTGTTTTATTAGTTTTGTGTAAAATTCTAATTTGAGTAATAAACACAAATAAATATTTGAAGTACATCACTTTGTGTAATTAATTTATGAGTCTCACTTTTGAAATAAAAATAAAATTAGCTTCTTATGAAAACAGTGACTTACTGTATATGACCTTCAAAGCTCTCCAAACCAGAAAAGTTGTATACTTTAATTTGTTCACTCAGTAATAAACAACGTGGACTGTTCTTGGACTAGACTGAAAGACCTTTTTGTTAAAAGAAACAGTGTTGGAAAACTCCTGCTTGCTTTAGCAGTGTCTCTCACAATATAGTACTATAATGGTTTCGGATATCATTTTAAAGTAGAATTACTTTCTAAATGATTCATGAGTTTCAAGATTTGATTAATCAATCCTTTCTACGTTCATAACACCATTAGGTTTTGCTTCACAAATCACTGATTATCCATTAAAGAGAACTATTTATAGGTGAGATCATACCAAGTAATCTGAGAAGTGTGAATTTATAATTCTTTCACTTGCATGTGAGGTTTCTCAAAAGGCATAAACTACTTATTATTTTTATTATAAATTTAACATGCAGTCACACATGTTGAAAGAGTGAACCACTGAAAGCATCGTAGGCTAGATTTCTTCTACAACGTAAATAAATTACTTAAGAACAAATATTGGTACATTAATACTTAACAATAATTCCAAAGAAAATTCCTCGATAGGTCCTGTTCACTCAATTAAAAATTTATTATATAAAGCTTTGAAAAATAATATTTTCTTTAGTTAAACTTCTCTAATACAAAGCACCCTCCACGCTTACTGGCAATGTAGTTTAAGCTTTATTTGCTAGGAAATAAATAATTTTGTGAAGTGACGTGTACCAGAGTTGTTGACATCTTTCATAGAAATATTTTTTTACAGTCTCCTTTTATTAGTACAACTGTTTTCAACTAAAACATCCGTTTTAGTAGAAAACAGGATTTTTCTACTGAAACCTTGTTTTTACAGAAGGGAGTTGGAGTATGCAAAGAGAAGGACCTTTGATCATTTCTCTTTGAACAATCTATCCTGATCACCTAGTGGTCAATCCAATCTTTGTTCTGGGAACTGAGATGCTCATGGAAAAAGGCAGATGTTGTGGTCTCTGCTATATTTTTAGTTCTTTTGCTTATTATTGTTATTCTATTGAAATAACCAGTAAAATTTTACTATGTTTTCTGGGTGAGTTCACCAGTTTTTATTTGAATGTTTTTGCCAAGTTTAAACAAAATGATATTGTTAGTGCCATGTTCTGACCCCAATTTTGTAGCAGTAGGAATAATGTCTGCTTTTTTTGTTTAACGACAAGAAATAAGATTGTGTTTCACGTTAACATTTATTTTGTAGCAAAATACAGTGAAGCTTAACTCAGCTTAACGATGGCAAACGGCATATTGCTCCATTTCTCTCAAATTAAATTTATTTTATAGTGGTCATGATTGTGTTAAAAATAGTTACAATATACACCTTTGAATGAATGGACTCAATTCAAAGTGCACAATTTAAATATTTTTTTTCAGAGCTCTCCTATGTGGTTGGAGTAGAAGATTAATGTATTTTAAAGCTTTTTGCACATCATCCTCAAGGTTACCAATATTGATGAAGTGCTATCTAAACAGACCAAATTATATAAAAAGTAGATTTTTGCACAGCAAATGTAAGAAAAAGCATGGTATCAATAGGTTTTAACATTTAAATCAGAAATCAGACTTAATCATACATTCAACATTTTCTTTCACCCTTCAACTGTCATGACGACCCTATTGTACTCATGGACCCATTGAATAACATGTAAGCATTTTAAGGACAGTGACAGTTAGGGTGGACTTTGGGCCATCATAAGAAATGAATGTTGTTTGGTAAAACTGTACTTTTGCTCAGGTTTTTCATACTGACTCAATAAAATATCATAGTAAATGTGGAGCACAGTAATGAGAAGACCTTTAAATATAAATTTACACTTTATTTAAATAGATTTGACATTTTGTAAATTTAACTAAGTATCCGTTTTCTTTTTTTTAATTTGATTTGATTGTTTCATTGCCCTCGGATGTAGCATGCAATAATTTTATTTCATTTGTGAGCCTTAAACATTAGACAGGAATGGGGCAAACACTGCTACACAAGGTCATTGGTTTGCAGCAGGTTGAGCATTGAGATCTGCGTTAGTTAAATATTTAATGTAGGAAAGTAGCAGAGCAAGTATATATATTTTTATATTATTTTAACAAATCTGGTATTAATAACTAGTTATTGAAACCAGATTTCATTCTTTTTCATTTAATTCAATATTTAATTACATGTTTAATAGATTTTTAACTCATTTGTAGAATTAGAGATTTTTTTAGTTGTATTATTGAAAGTATCACTTTTTAGACAGTTTTTCACACAAGCTATCATGTGATGTGGACGTGGTGACACAAGGAGAGAAGTAAAAATGCAGGATATCGGTCCTTGAGGACTGACTTTGGACACCCCTGATTTCAAGCTCTGTAATTCCTAGGGAACCTGAAAATCTAGCGAAGTTTGAGACTAAAGGAGAATTGTATAATAAGGTATATTTAGGATTCCCTTTGAAGGGAAAGACTTTTCTTAAGGTGCACAAAACACCAAAGCCTTGGACTGAATTTTGCTCCAATTAGCTCTGTAGGGCATGTTGCTGTCTATGGTGACAGCTCAGGGGCTTTCTGTCTGTACGAATGCTTTAATTAACAGAAAAGGGAATTCCTACTGGACTAGCTCAGTGAGGATGTGCTCACCCACAAGCATAAGAATAGCTGTCAACCTACATACTGTACACTCTGGAAAGAGCACTGCCTTACATGAGTTGATTCATTTGGGCATACGTATGGTGTTTGTCTTATTTTTGATTTAGTTTATTATCTTTAACAGTAAGTTATCTATTTTCTCCTCTGTCATTTTTAAGTAATAAATCTTGGCACAGGCCAGAAAAATTACAATACCATGGTCTATTGTTACTAATAGTAAATATGCAGTGAATTAAAGTCACTGAGTAAATAGAATCCGCCTGATTGTAGGCCAACCACTGCATAAAAACTACTGTCCTGTAAAGGCCTCAGAGGAATATATAAAATTGGGAGCAAACGGCATCATTAAGACCAAGAAACTCAGCAGACAGGACAGGGATAACAATGTGGACAGGTAATAAAGCTTTATATTTTGGGGTAATCCAACAGAGAAGTCTTTACGTTGAACTAATCAATTCAAAATTAAAAACAGCAGATGGGATTGTCTTCATAATAAATCAGACTGTAGAATTAAACATCTGCACAACTGAAAAGCAGGACTTTACTCGAAGTATTGCATTGTCAGTCATTTTTAATCCATCCATATCCAAATTATGTGCTTAGATTCAGAAATAAAATTGTGATTTCTTTATTTTCCGTTGAATTCAAAACTATAGACTTGATAAGAGAGTTCAGCTTATTTTTATTTTCTTAACGATCTCAACAGAAAACCAATTTTCACTGCATAATTCACACATGATTGTGAGCTTTCATTGTGAGTGACATCTTTCCAGTTATCTCTGCTTTCTGAATGCATTAAATTCAATCTGTAAACAAATTTTATCTAATATCTCATTTCCTACAATATTAACAGAAGCGATTGGGTGACTTCCTACAAGGTCATGATTAGCAATGACAGTCACACATGGATAACTCTTAAGAACGACTCAGCAGACTTGGTGAGTAATAATAAAAGCATCAAAGAATGATCCCTCTGTTTGTCCTCAAACTGAAGAACACTGCAAATCTTTGCATTAATGCTGTTGTTTTTCCTTGTTAACCAGCTAAATATTGAGTCTTGCTTTGTACGTCTCTTGCTGATTGGACCCAAATAGAAAAATGAATTCTTGCTGGAAAGTAATTACAGGGGAAGATGTAAATGCCTGCTTATTTCCAAGCTTAATGAGCTGTGAGGTGATAGTAAATAGTAATGTTTCTCCTGCAGATGGGAACTCATCCTTGTTTTCTCACTCTGTAATGAGAGACTTGATATAATTGAATGGACTGTAATATCACCTTGCCTGCAGAGATTCACTTAGATTTTTTTCTGTCAATTCTGTTGCTGATTAACCAAATCAGGGCTTTTTGAATATAATCAAAGCCCTTAGTCGTTAGATTCTTTTTGTGCACTCCTGTGGTTCGTGATTTAATCAGTGTCAGTGATTAAACCCCCAGTAGTAATTTTGTCTCTGGCACAAGCGTTGCCCACCTACATTGCCCAGTCTACTATACTGGCCTTTCAAAAAACTACATATGTACCAGAAGAGCTCCATCTGTGGGTGTCCTCAGGGTATTCAAGTTCAATCATTGTGTGCTCAAGAATTCAACCCAAAACTAGGGAGGGAATCTTTTGTAAGTTTCATTCTTTAGCCAAACTCTTTTAATTGCTTAAAACTATTATGAGGAAAATAAATAGCCCTGTACCATGTTGAGCTAATCTTGCTCATTTAAGGTTGTTGAATGAGGAGCATTATCCTGTGTCCTTCACAGCTTGACTGTTTATTCACCTTGTGTTTGCCTTAGTAGATATTCAGCGCCAACAGAGAAAAAGAAATCCCCGTCCGGAACATCTTTCCATCACCTGTGGTCGCTCGGTACATTCGAGTCAACCCCCGCTCGTGGTTTTACGGTGGCAGCATCTGTATGAGAGCAGAGATCCTTGGCTGTCCTTTGCCAGGTGACGGGTTTGTATGAAGGAGATGCACAAAACAGTCGGCCACCATTTATGATTGATTAAGTGTTATCATTCGGGTTTTGGTCTGGATGAAGGTTCGGAGTTGTTATAAACTGGGATGCCATGTCTGGAAAATAATTATTTATTAATATATAATTCTTGAATGATGGCAGATAATTTTTCTGGTTAATTTTGGTCTTTTGGAGTCAGGACTGTGTGGAAACATCTCTATAGAATATGAAGGTGACTAATTTCTTGGTCGTTCAGTTTAAAAAATCAAAATAGACTATATCTGTCTTTTTATGGTACCAATGATAACACAGAGGTGACACATTGTGTTATATAAAGGTTAATTCAGTTGAGTATATGACTAGATGCTGGTTGGAGATTTATCTTAAATCCTAACATTATTGAGGCAGTGGCATGAGTTAAACTGATATTAACAGCTGCTCAAATGATCCATCCATAGAAAAATATAGTCCCTCGATGATTTTCTGGGGCTGCCCTGGGTTCTCCTCCCAGTGGCCAGGAAATCTACAAAGAGAGAGATCCAAGAGAGAGGGATCGTGATCAAATGATGACACCTTTCATTGCAGAGGAAGAAGCTGCTTCAAGCTTCCCCACGATGATGACATTCCTTAACTTATTTCCAAATCTCAGTGCAATCTTCCTAAAGAAGATTGGACATATTATTTGTTTCTTGTACTTAATGTGATGTAATAGTGGAGGGGCCAAATATAGACAGACTTGTAAACTGAGTGTTTTGGCTTTTTGCACCGACTAGGGCGAAGCCACCATGAGAGATCAGACCTCAGTTCATCTGAGCCATACCCGCCTCCATCATACCAACACTCAGAAAAAAACAGCAAAGATGCACAAATCTTTTACTGCAGCCTAACATTTCTCCACCTCCTGTGCTGATGTAGCATCCCTAATGAGAGGAATGAATCTACTTCTATAGATCTCTGAATGCCTTTAACTTTTTTAATCTTGTTCCAGATCCTAACAATTACTATCACAGACGCAATGAAGTCATAACGACTGACGATTTGGACTTCAGGCACCACAGCTACAAAGAGATGAGGCAGGTAAGCCACGTAAACAGACATTACCTTGTTAAAAGAACCAAGACCTTATTTCCCATTCAGAACAGAGATCAAGAGCATAGAGCAATAAAACACCGCACAGAAACTGTGAGTCGAAGCGAGCCAAGCTGTGTCCTTCACGAGAGCAAAGAATGCAGCAGAACAAATGAACCAAGCACTTGGAGCTGCATAAAAATGCATAAAGCATCTTCAGGGTTGTATCATTACTTATTCATATAGTTGTCACAAGCAGGCGCCTGTTTGTACCAAGAAGGAGGACAGCTGTATTTGTCAGTGTGCACGGTGCGCCCGAGTGGCTGTGATAGTACAAGCATTGTGAATGATAATCTCCTGTTATGCAGTCGAGAGAAGAAACATCCTGGGCTGCTGTTTTTCTTTGTAATTGGAAATATTGGTTAGATATTGGGTGATGTTTTTTTTTTCTGATCCAACTACATGCTGCTTCAGAAATATCTAAGTGAATTAATGAACTGTGTTTCTATGCTTTGTTGGGTTTTATCCTTTACAGCTAATGTGTTCCACTCTGTGTCCAGGCTAAGCTTGGCTTCAAAAAGAAAAGAAAGAACTATTTTTGAAAGTCCTTTTCATAAGCATTTTTACCCTTGACATTTTCTTTCTTTGCCCTGGAACCAGATAGCATGACTCTCCCCACTATAGTACAAAGCAGTCTCAATAATTTTGCAACTATTAAGAAGTCTCACATAATGTACAAACTCCATAAGAGTAACAAAGTCTAAAATCTATTTCTTATACCGCTTAATGATTGTCCTTTTCTAAGACCACAACCACACTAACACTGGGAATAACAGAAGGAAAAATAAATTCCTTAATATGGAAAATATTGTATCAATTCGTATTATCCACACAGTGCATAAAAGAAGCTTGATTTTCTATTGAGATCTGTGGCATATAAAGCAGAGTTAAAAAAAATTCTGATGCTCAATTTTTCTGTCTGTATGAGGGAAAAAACACAAACACCCTTGTTTAATAAAGAATGCTTTGTATTGATTCTGGTAAATAATATTGTCCATTTATATTTATCCAGGGAATTCTCTGCTTTATTAGAATGAGAGCAGGACTTTCACCCATGTCTTGTGATTCTTCATCCCACTGAAAAACCTGACATTTGTTTAGCGATTTACTTGCTCAGTGAAGTCAACATTTAACCTGCACTTAATTAAAACCCAGTCACACCTGACTGGCCAACTTCAGCAGCAGCTGAGCCCATGGATGCAGCAGCTTCATCTAACAACTGGTTGGTCTTTTTTACTGCAGCGGTACTTTGTGTGACCACTGACATCCATGTGGGTAAATGATAATCGTTGCTATTTTAATCTGTTCCTGTATGAGCCTGTCTTTATAATTGCTTTGGCTGCCTCTTCAGAGCTGGCTGCAAGGAAACTAAGTAAGCTCTGTGACACAGCTTTGGCAATATTGTCTTTGAAGATTTCAACTATTTAAGCTGGTAGTAAGAACATAAAAATAAAAATGGAAAGACCACAAGATAAATATTTTTAAAGCATTATATAAGAGTTAACAGTATTTTTTCTATCATCTTGCCATCCATTGTACAGTTAACATTATATATGTTATGATGGAATTTCCTTACAGACTCAAAAATCACAGGCTTAGAGGAACTACTTTTCTGAAAACTAAAGTTAGGCTCTGTATAAATGATATGCTTTCAAACACCACAGTAGGTTTTTTGGATAATAGTAGTTTTAAGCTGATACTTTTCTTACTGCCTGTAGCAGGTGGCTGAGCTGCACTTCCAACTCCAGCTTGTATTTAAACAGATACAGACGGATGTCTGATTCCTGCCGGGTCATTACTGTTGCACCCTATTCCCACACTATTCCCATGAAAATCTTATTGGAAAAAGCCTTTTTGATGGTGGTGGTCTCCAATGTGTGTCAGAGTTTACCTTTGTCAGTTTGAGCTGCTCAGTTCGTTCAGAATCGATTTATTTTAAATTCATTTAAGAAAATATCTTATTTATTCCAAGGTGAAATGAAATGTTTTTTGTGATTCTTTTCATGCAGGTATTGTTTATAAAGTTCTTGAGAATGGTGATGTCGTGGGCAGGAAAGACTTCCAGTCGCAGTTGTCTTGCAACTGCTACTGGAATCAGAAGAAGTCTCAGACTGTAGGACTTGTGAATGCCATAGAATGACAACTGCTCAATATCCAGACCCCAGTCATGATATTCCACTGCAAAATATTCTGAATGACTCTATCACTTGTTGCCAAGAACTGATAACTCAACACATCTGCTTTTTTCTTTTTCTTTTTTTTTTATTTCTGCAGGACATTCAGACTTTATTTTATTTAGTTATTTTTGTAATAACTTATTGTATTTTTATTTCCTTGACATTGCTTTTTATTTTTAGTCTTTTTACAGCACTGTTGTCAGATTATGTTTTTTTGTAATTTCCAATAAAAAACAAATAACTTGGCTTTATTAACAGCTATTTGCCAGTGCACTAAGTTCAAGCAGAATGGTTTTTCTCATTAGTGTCAGGTACTTGGATAGATTTTTTTTCATAATTTGTCAGGGTCTAATGCTTTACGATTTACCCTTCACAGCTGATGAAGGTGGTTAATGAGATGTGCCCCAACATCACACGGATCTATAACATAGGAAAATCTCAAAACGGCCTTAAATTGTATGCCATAGAGATCTCTGACAACCCTGGTGAACATGAAGTTGGTGAGTGCTTTAAATGCTAAAATATGACGAAATTAATAATGTGTTTGATAGAGAAAACTAGAAAAAAATAACGGACATCACAAATCATTTTGTGTACACGTATTATGTGTCGGGGGCAAAGTGCAACTATTTATTTTTTTGTCTTTTTCGTTTCCACCTAATGAACAGGTGAACCAGAGTTTCGCTATACAGCAGGTGCACACGGAAATGAGGTGCTTGGACGAGAGCTCCTCCTCCTGCTCATGCAGTTCATGTGTCTGGAGTATCTATCAGGCAACCAGCGGATACGTCACCTGGTGGAGGAGACCAGAATCCACCTGCTGCCATCCATCAACCCTGATGGGTACGAGAAAGCCTTTGAAGCGGTATGTCTGCAAAACACAAATTGGTGACCTCATTTTGTTAAATGGTCTGTTGTGAGTAAACGTTAGGTACATGAGAAACAGTTTAAATGATGCAATGGAATATGTGAAGTGAACAAGAACTGCATCAAGTCAGTGTTTCTGTCATAATTTAAAACTGAAGCACGTTTTAGTAATATTAATGGAAAGGCAAGATTAGAGATCGTAACAACAATAGGAAATGAGGACAAGTCAAAGCTGCAAAGAGATTGTTTTTTGTTGATTTGGTGATGTGGATTTCATTCAGTGAAGTATGTGAAGAAGCAGATGCATCTTATAATTGAGAAAGCAGTAAGCTAACAGCCTGTACTCAACTAATTTGTACTCAGTTTATTTTGTGTCCTTGGTGTTTTTTCTTGTGTATGTCAGTTTCATCCGGAACAGTTTCTACATCACACATAATGCTATATTTGGAAACCACATAGTACAATTTTCTGGTCAGATTGTAATGAATTTATTTAAAGCATAAAACAGTACCTTGCAAAGAGAGGTTTCTCTAACGAAGCATATTATTTTAGATGCTTGTCACTTCTTAGCATTTCTCGTCAAAGGAATTTAATGCTGTTTTAAATTAGGAGTTTTGACTTGTTTTTGTTTTCCGGTTCAATGCACTTTGCAAAAACACACTGAACTTTTGTTCAAGATGCTGTTCTGTTGCTTTATGTGGAAAAATTGGTAGTGACTTTTCATATTCATAAGACTTTTCAGAGCCTTATGATAAACTTGTTTTATTGCCAAAACAGGGGATGTTGTCCCGACAACACCTTTTATGTAAAAACCTACTGAAATAATTACAGCAACTCCTGCAGAACCAAAATGTACCCTTCCCCACCGTACAGTTCTTGCATTTTTCACTAATATACTCCTGCCTCACCTGTTTTGTATGACCTTTGTGCCGCACATTTCAGTCACCATCTTCTTCATGTTTACTCTTTGTCTCAGGGTTCAGAGCTTAGTGGCTGGTCTCTTGGTCGATGGACCAATGATGGCATAGATATCCACCACAACTTTCCTGATCTCAACTCAATTCTCTGGGAGGCTGAGGCAAAGAAGTGGATTCCTCGCAAAATGTTCAACCACCACATCCCCACCCCAGAGTGGTACCTGTCTAACAATGCCTCGGTAAGTCGTACTGATAATCTGTTGTGCTGTAATTTATATTAAATAAAAACTTTAAGCAAACCTAATGATAAAATTGTTTTTTATCTAAACGTACTTGGCATACAACTTGTAGCTTATCAACAGCATGTTTAAAATGACCTTAATAAGAATAATAAGTGATGTTTCTTTGGTTTCCACGTGATTTTTGAAACAAGACATATTTCCAAACAGTCAAACTCATCTTTCGGTACAAGAGGAGAAGGGGTAAGAGTTGTATTTAATACATCTGTTTGATGTTTTGGAGCTGCACCGTGGTGAAGTTGGTAGTACTGTTGCCATGCAGCAAGAATGTCCTGAGTTTGAATCCTTGCATGGTCTCTGGAGTTTGCATGTCCTCCCTGGGCATATGTGGATTCTCTCTGGTTACTCCAGTGTCCTGCAACTGTCCAAAGAGGTTAACTGGTTTCTCCAAACTGCTCCTAGTCATCAGGTGTTGGACTGATGACCTCTCTATATGCACACTGGCTCTCAGCCAGTGACCACTGGAGCTGGGCAACACAATGTCCCCCCTGCATAGACAAGTATGCAAGGACAAAGATTGAATGAATGTTTGGTGTTGAGTGGCACAGCAACGGGTGGGGAATGAGCAATTCATTCTATTACTTTCTCTGCCATCTTACGACTAGCAATTTAACCATAGGAACCTGTTCTCCTACCCACATAATCTCAAACAATATATGTATGTAACACACATACGCATACATGGGTGGCAAAAGGGTGCGCTCACCCTAGGGTGCAATTGTGTTCTTTTCCTGCTTTTTTTTTTTTTTTTTTTTTTTCTTTGAGAAAAACAAACACATCTCACAGTGGAGATCATCAGCCATTTGAAAAGGGTAAAGCAGTCACGAGGGCCCATCAGCACTTGTCTATTTTGGGAGAAGCGGATGATGAGTTTGCTGTGTATGACGAAGAGGCCGTGAGCTGAAATATACCAAGCGGGCTATTAAAAGCTCACCCTCACGAGTGTTTTGACGTTAGCGGGAGCCATGGATGAGTCACACTGAGCCTCCAGAATAGCTGCTGCAGCTGCAGAGCTGGGATTCCCATCTGTGCACACAGAGCTGTGAATCCTATCCTTGTTTGCCCCACTGACTGGCAGCACTCGCAGATAGGAATGCTGGTTTCATTACTTGAGCCCCAACAACATGGGAAATTCCTCCCAGTTGAATGCAAATGCTTGTTCGGTGTAAACATTTACCTATTAGAATGATTACTCTTGACATGCTTAGGCAGCGTGAATTGTGTTAACAGCCTTTCTGATGGCTTCATCACTCCCCATTGAGAGCACAGATTATTTTAGCATAAGGGAGTTAAATTAGCACTCACACTGCTTAGATGATTGTGCTAATTACATTATCCATGCCTCTTGTGTGCGCCCGCTGTAGGTTGCCTTGGAGACACGAGCGCTGATAGCATGGATGGAGAAAATGCCCTTTGTGCTTGGTGGGAATCTCCAGGGAGGCGAGCTGGTGGTGACCTTCCCATATGACAGAACTCGCTCCCAGGGGGTGACTCGGGAGCAGACCCCCACCCCTGATGACCACGTCTTCCGCTGGTTGGCCTTCTCTTACGCTTCCACCCACCGCCTCATGACTGATGCCAGCCGACGGGTCTGTCACACAGAAGACTTCGCCAAGGAGGATGGAACCATCAACGGGGCATCCTGGCACACTGCGGCCGGAAGTTCGTGTCCATATCCAGCGGCGGGTTTTGTCACTAATCCTAACAGTGCTTTGAAGGGTTTTTTTTTTTTCAGCTCCACGTGCAGCCTCTGAGCCATTTCTTACAGAGCACACATGAGAGCATCTGCAGCACTGTAACCCTATTTTTAGATTTTAGCCTCAAGTGTGATCTAGCCCTCAGAAAAGCATCTCAAATTCTTTTTTCTTGCCTAATTATCCTCACAGTTTTGCCCTGTATGTGAGCATTCAGATACATTTGGATATGTTTGTCTTTGCTGGCAGGTATGAATGATTTCAGCTACCTACACACCAACTGCTTTGAGCTGTCGATGCATGTGGGTTGTGACAAATTCCCCCATGAAAGCGAGCTGCCTGAAGAGTGGGAGAACAATCGGGAGTCTCTTCTTGTTTTCATGGAGCAGGTACAGAGTCAGTTCAGTCTCTCTGACATTCAGTTTGTTCCTCGTGTTCCTCTTATTGAACTACTTAATTGCAATGCCTTGCTAATGTGTTCATGCAATTTGAAAAGCTTTCATTCTTCTATTCAGCCTCCCGTGGCAATACTTTGTCATTTGTGTTAACTGCACCTCCTTCCTTCACTGCACAAAAACTGAAAAGCTCGCTTCTTCCTCTTTGTAAAATATCTCAATTTCAGTTAAATTGGTTGAAGTGGATCTATCAACAGTTAAGTATTGCCACATTTCTCAATTAGATTTAGGTTTGGACTTTGACTGGGCCATTCAAAAGCATGACTTACTGTGATGGTAAACCATGGCATTCAATGGCTTAGGATAATTTTCCAGCTGGAAGTTGAATATCTGCCCCAGTCTTTGCAGCCTGTAACAGCCTATACCCTTCCAGTACTGTCCTACATAAAACTTTATTCGTTCTTCTATCAGCTCTACTGAAGAAAAGCATCACTACAGCTTGATGCTGCTACCATCATCCTCACAACTAAAGCTTGTCTTGCTGACAGATTGCCCCACCTAAATCGTAAATCTCTGCAGCCCTTCCAGAGATACCAGGGGACTTTTGTCTACGTCTCAATAAAGCACTCACTGGCTATCCTGTCAGTTAATGTGGACAGGCATATTCACTTCCCCTCAAAGTAACGCCACACTCCTTTTACTCTTTTCAATTGATGAACTGAATAGTGCTTTGTTCAATTTTCAAAGCTTTGGATTTCATTTTAACAACAGGAAGAAAAATCCACATAAGTCAAAGATTTAAGGAGAAAAGTATTTTTTGTAAAGTAACGCTAAAGGTTCTTGTTGTCGAACACTTTACGCCTTATCCTATTGCCTTCTGAAAGTTTCACTAAACAGAACTTACTTACTTTGCCTTGAAAGTTTCTTACTCTCCATGAAGCATAGAAGCACTTCTATATATTAATCTTCCAAAGATTACTATATCGCAAATAGAAGTTTTAAAGATGTGAGTTAGGCATAAAGGGATTGCATTTCCATTAGAAGCCAAAGGAAACCCAAAGAACTTTGTAAAGAAACTTACTCATTATGTTTTATTCTCTCTGGAAACACAATCTTCAGAGGATCTGCAATCCTGCCATGACAGTTTATATTTAAATATTGATACTGCGAGCAGAGGAAGTACATTTTGAGCCCTGCATAGTGCAGTGTTCTTCCTTTTCTCAAGATCACAGAATCATAAAATATAAAGAATATAACAAGGACGCTTTCCATACACAGGTGCATCGTGGGATCAAAGGTGTAGTCAGGGACATACAAGGACGAGGAATAGCCAATGCCATCGTCTCTGTAGAAGGCATCGGTCACGATGTTCGCACAGGTATGTTGTTTTGGAATATTTTTGAAGGAAAAAAACCAATAAAACTATGTTCTCTGTTACTTGACATCAACATAAAAACATCCTCAGAAAAGGATTGCTCCTGCTTGATGATATTTTAGTGTCCAGAGGACTAAAATACCATAAATGAAAGCAGATGATGTTCTTAATCAGAACTGTGGGTTGGAGTCTGACTCAACTTATGGTCTTTGCCAAGGATGTGAAGGCCTCCAACTCTCAGTTTAAGTATTGATTAGGCATCCTCATGGTGATGTCTTCTGATGTCTGGAAAAATCCCCCCTTTAAAGCTAAAGTGGTTTCGTACTTCGAGCGTGAAATCAAATTTTCAAAAGGACATTAAGCATCATTATTCCAGAAAATCAGAGTAGGTCACAGCTTCCTGTAGGAAAACTTTACTGTCCTCTAACAAAATGCAAAAGAATTTTAGAGTTCATATTGTGAAGTGTGATGGCCTTCACTCCTAGTTTCTATGTCCATGTTGTTTTGCAACATGAAATACTTCCAAACATTTTTTCTTTTTTGTATAAGTGAAGGAAAGGTGTAACACCAGCTGTTTGCAGTAGCATGTAAGGAAGGGTAGCACCATATGATTCAATGCTCTGTATAGCCCTCTCTTTCTCTCTCTCTCTGAGAAGGCTATAAACCCAAGAAGGATGTAAATTTAAACCTGTAGACTGACTTCTGACACTTAAAACAGAAAAGTTGAATCTGCTTTGTGTTTGGGTTTCTTCGCAGCTGCTGATGGTGACTACTGGCGCCTGTTGAACCCTGGAGAGTACAGAGTAACAGCCAGAGCTGAGGGCTACAGCCTCACCACTAAAAAGTGTGAGGTTGGCTACGCGATAGGGGCCACCAGGTGTGACTTCACCATTGGCCGGAGTAACTTGTTCCGAATCAGAGAAATAATGGAAAAATACAACAAGCAGCCAATCAAGTTGCCCATGAGGCAGCTTCAGGCCCAAAGACCCAGAGAGAGACGCGTGGGAACATAATGACAACATGAGGAAGCCTGGGGAGGAATTGAAAGAAAGCATCTGCTCTGATGAGACAGGATTGGAGTCCATGCTCAGTTTTGGACATTTGTTAGGTTCTTTCACTTAGTTAGGTTCTAAGTGTTGTCAGAAGAATTTGTATTTGGTTGCTCAAATTATGAATGAATCTAATTGTGTGCAGAATTTGATCCTTATGTTTTTAATAGACAATTGTTATAGTTATGGTTAACATCCACACTGCACTGTCATTTTTTTGTGTTTGGAAGCAGTATAAGAGTTTGTATTCTCCTTATTATGACAAATACTAAAAGGTTAAGCTAAAGTTGCATCAGATCTTATTTTTTTAAGTGAAAGTGAAATATGAATGATCAGTGCAAAGCCTGTTTGAAATTGCCATTGCGCACATGCAGGCCCAGTGTAATAAATTAGAATATCATCAGAAAGTTTGTTTATTCTAGTGATTCAGCTCCAAATTGAAACCTGGATTGCGTAGACCCAATACACAAAGTTATGTTCCAAGCTGTACTTTGTGTTGATTTTGACATTTGTTGCCTACTGCTAACTACAAAAAAAAGTTATGTCAGTTGCTTGTGCCCTTTTACTTTACCACGTCTTTTCCTACTATAATACAAAAAAAAATACTTTTATTATTTTGTGTAATATAAAAGTACCATTGGCTGTGCACCACAACAGTCAACAATAACAAAAATAAACATTTGGAATATACCACTGTGTGAATTGAACCCATATAAAATATGAGCAAAAATATTTTTAATAAAATTACTTAAATAAACCTTTTGTTGATATTAGTAAAATTCTAATTTATTGCGATGCACCACTACTTAACTTATACAACACCGTAGTAAGTCATCATAGCAGCTTTCTCGTCATAAAAGCACTTTGGTATTTTTCTAAAATACTTTTTGCTTTTTAGTTTGTTTTCTTTTAATAAACCTTTGCACAACTTAAAATTGCTGGTCTTTTGTGTGGATTTTAGCACTGGAAATTACTCTAGAAGCCATTTATTTTATCCATAATTGTATCCCATTTTATTTTTAGTCCCAATTTTTTTGTAGGCTTGCAATTTGTTGAATGAAATATAAATAAAAATAAATTTAAAAAAAATTATTTAGATCCCTAATAAAGCTTGACAAGTGAAAATGTTGATATTCCAAACACAGCCTTGAAATATTTCATACATGACTAATTGTCAGGGTTTTTTAATTGTGTTAAAATCACACAAAAAGAGTGATAAATACAAGAAGCTCTAGTTAATGACTCATTGTTCTTTATGCCTCATGCATTTCTTCATTTATACATAAAGAGGTGTTTCTATTCTCATCACAGCTTTTTTTCCTAAAAGCATTCCTTAAAAATTTATCTAATAGTTGTACTGAAGAAGAATTGGGACATTGATTTTTTTGTTTAAATAAGCACTGCGCTTTAATAAAGAAAATAACATATTTGTAAATAATCGTGGCAGACGTCTTCATCCATGTTGACAACTCCCAAGACAGAGGAACAAAAGAACTATGTGATACACTTAAAATGTTGTATTCTTTGTGTTAAAATACCAAAGGTTTTTGTCCACCTAAGTGTAAAGTATGAAAATGTAATGTTTAGAATAAATAATCATTTTTCAGACATCCATTGAATGAGAAGGAAACTAAGATTGGTAGATTCTCTATGAAAGCATTAAGTTCCTTGGTCTCAACACTAGAAGCTGAATTGAGAAATGAAAAGGTTGCCGGATTAAACTAACAACCGATAATTTAAAGAAGACATTCATGGACTAAAATGCTCAAATCCTTGGATAGGACTTGAGCAGCCCTCATTTCAAAGAAGGCCACCAACTGAATTAAGGTAAATACATTTGCTGTGAAAGACATTATCACTGTAGGTAATTTGTACTGTTGACATTAATTCGTGTTTTATTTAAATATCCTGTTTGACTGAACATCTCTGATGGGAAAGACTCTCAGCTACATGTCCATAGCTCGGCTATAATGACTGTGGGTAATTTTAAAGATCATTTATGATTTCTGCAGAAGTGAGATTGCATCTTGGGAGTGTCAGGATGGAAGGACTCTAATTATCAGAGCTCTGCTGGGGCTTTTACGGATCACTGGCTTATTCTGACAACTCTGGCTTCCTTTTCTTTGGCCACCATGTAATTAGAGGAAGGCTCCAGCCTTTCTTATCTCCTCCAAAGTTATTGAACGAAGTCTCACACACCTGTCATCATCTCAAAGCACTGGACTGTGTGAGACTTGTCAGAAAGTGTTAATATTACAATACTCTCTGCAGCTCAACATCAAAGACTGGGTGTGAAACAGGGGAAATACATTTGTAAGTCAGAGAGATAGAGCAGTCCCTGCTACTTTCAGACATTAAACATTCATTTAGTAGTGGAACAGCATTAGAACATCCAGGGTTTTGATGTTACTCATTACAAAACCAACAAAGCCTAACCCTAAAATGTAATCTTAGGCTTAACTAACATCTACCTTACTGAAGCAGCTATAATATGTGCTCTAAAGGGGCAAAGTAGATGTGTTTTATATATATATATGGATATATATGTGTGTGCGCGCGTGTGTGTGTTGGGGTGTGTGTGTGTGTTTGTAACTTCTTCAGGACATTGGTTTATAAAACGGTGGGACTTTGTGGGGCCTCAGTTTTATATGTTACTTTGCTCAAAAGTAGTTGAGCTTCTTTGATCACTCATGACCTTACAATTATCTGTGTATTTCCCTTTTTATTTTCATTTCAGCTGAACAAACTACTATTTTTCCACTTCTTTTTTCTTGTAGGTTTTTAATCCAAGTACCCTGTTCTTCTGAACACGGCCTGGATTACTAACCTTATTCAGAAAGGAATGCTCAGCTTCCCATTATGCACAACATCTGCTAACTTCATCCTTAAACAAGAACCACTTGTCTGACAGAATGACTTGTGAACTTCCTCCTTTCAATAATGATTCAGTTACACGACATCAGCAGTATGCATACTGTTGCAGTTGGCTCTATTAGTTTTCTAATACCCTCCTCAACCTGCAGCTGAATCACTTATAATTTCTCTCAAAAACATTGAACGTTCTGTATAATCAAATTTGGACTGCTTTTAATTTGAAAAAGTTGAACACCTTAGATTTCACAGTAACCTGCTGTGATGAGAGATACACCAAAAAAGCAAGCTACAGTGCTGAATGTGTGTAAAACAAGACATATGCTGAAACAGTAGCTATTCTCATCTGTAATAAGAGCTTGTTGGACAAATTGCTGTCCAGACTTTTTCCATATGGGCTGCAGATAATTGCTGTGAGTAAAGCTGGTGTCAGTAGAGGTGGGACGGGAGGGGGGGGGGGGGTGTGGTTGTAGAGTTTGCATGATGTCCAGAGTAGCTAATGTGGTCTGCAGCTCTGTTATTAGGCAGATGTGCAGAGAGATAAGGGCTTCTTTAGATGTTGGTCAAGTCTTTGATATTTTCCAACACTGACCTGGATACCAGGAAGGTGAGTTGCCATGGAGAGCTGCTGAGCTACATTTTGACCTTCCTCTTTTTAAATGTCAGGGTCAGAGTGGACAGCTGTTTAGCATAGCTTGAGATACAATAGGCCCGAGCAACAAAAACCCTGCAAAGGCCTATTGTAATAATAATGTTTATTTTATTTTTTATTTTTTGTTTTGTTTTGTTATATTTTGCATTGGGCCTCCATCATAGCGGCAAATAATTTTTGACTGTTAATGGCGCTCGTGAGGATTGTTTCAATGCATTAAGTCTTCTGTGAATCTATTGCTTTTTTTACGGTAAGAGGTGTCCACTTTTCAATTCGCATTGTGGCTTATTTGTCTCCCAGGGGGGTCAGTTGTCCAAGCGTGTTGAAGCCAACCATGATTAAGCTTTATGTCAGGGTCAATGCCACCCATCTGAGGATAATCATCGATACCTGGGGAGGTAATCAGTGTACAGAGCCTCAGCCATTTCAAGCCGGGGCTTTCTCAGCGAGCTGCTGATGTTGTTTCATTACTACCTAGGCTGCGGTGTGAACAGAAAAGTGGCCTCCCAGTGACTGGGACTGATTGCAGCTGGAATCTCTGCAGGTGTATAAAAGTTACATAAGTCTTATCAAATCTTTCAATTTGTGCTCTTTCGACCCGACTCTGGTGTATTTAAAAACACATCAGAACCAGATAGATTTTATTTATCATGTTTCTGTATTATAACATCATACTTAGAGCAATTTTAAAATGAAGACAAACCAATTCTACATACACAAACACTATATAAAAAGCTGTTTTTATAAAACAACGCAATGTATTAGATGTGTGCATTTTCCAACTGACCTGACGAAAGGCACTTAACTATCTTCTGATTATTAATTAATGTATAAGGATGCTTTGAAGGTGTTACAAGTCAGTAATCGTGTAAAAAGAAAGCATGGATTTTTCAAAGGTTTAGGCGTAGTCAGAGAAAGCCTGACCTCCTCTGTTTCACAAAAAGCATCTGCTCACTTGACCTCAGTGACCCTTTCAGAAGTACAGAAAGTTAAAAGGTCAGAAAAAGAAAAAGGCGCCAAGCCTGATTTACAATGAAGGCTGCAGATATATTTGGAAGTGCTGATTCTAACGCCTTCCAGAAAGTTAGATTGACAGAGAAATGTTTGCCACATGTGCTAAAGAGACCTTCAGTATTGCCCCTTGTGAAGGAGTCTGAAACGGATCTTCCTGCAGCAGTGCAAAATTACATGTATGATCCAAGTTCAACCTTTTCAAGTGAAAACAACAACTACATCTAACTTTATGTTGTTTTGATGAAAACACTTCTGTCTGTTATTAGTCGTCTCGCAAACTTGAAGCTTTGTTTGCTCAAACTCTTGGCATTCTTTATTCTCCATCTTACTATGCTGCCCTTCCTCAAGGTTTGGATTTTGGGATTAAGGTTATGGAAGGTTGATGTTGTGTCTGGTGAATTATTTCTGTTTTGATTTTGTCATATGAAATATGGACTGGAATCTTTACAGAGTCCTTGTCTTAGTCTCACATACAGTAAGAGTTTTTACTGTTGATACTTTAAGTAGCTTCTCTTGGTCTTTCTGGTTTCACTAAAAAAAGGTCATAAAAATGATCAAAGACAGGCTACAGAGAAGGTAGAAAATGCCTTTCTTTTAAACACAGATGCCATGAATGAAAATAATAATATAATATATAATGTCATTATATGTTGTGTATATAAACCACACCCTGTTTAAAAACGCTAGTCAGGTATTAAACCTTAAGAAAATCTAAATGTAGAAAAAACTGTGAAATATTTATTTTTTGTTGTTATCTTTAGATGCAGAGTTAAAGAAAATACACAAAACACTGTTTTATTTAATGTGCTTCATAAATTATCTTTCAATTTTTATTGTTTCTCATCAAGATCAATAAAAAGCATATACTCTGAACAGCATAATAAAAAAAATATCTACTACAATTTGGCCAAAATCTATAAGTCAATGTTCTCTGTTTATCAGAATAACAAACACAATATCAAAATCCCTTATTTCCAAATAAAATCACATTGCTTTCCATTTGTCCTATTTAGCAGCTTTCTAACTGTTGTTTAATAAATAAATTAAACGCTCAAAGTAGTCAAGTCAGTCACCAACAAACAAAACAAAGTATGTTACACCATTATGCAAGAACTGAACTCTTATTTATCATTGAAGCAGCACATTCTGTAAACCGCCAACATAAATTACAAGTACATATATCAAAAGGACCAAAAAAATACAGTCCTAAATTTCACTCTGCCCACAATTTTTTTATATTTATCTCCTTTACAATAAAGATAGTGGCAATGCATGTTTGTACAGAGAAATATAGATGCAGATGTAACAAAATAGACTGAAATAAATAAGGCAGTTATTCACTCTCTATGTATATAGTACAAGAAAAATACTCGTATTCTAACATAAATGGAAAAATCACCACATTACCAAAGTTAAGGCATCACCTGTCTTGCAATGTAATGAAGAGCGTCAGTGATAAATTACAATATTAGGCTTAAAACAATTTCTGCATTTAGAAACTTAAATACATGTGTGGTACTTAAATCACTGTTTTACAGCAGTCACTTTGGCACTGGTTCATCATTATTTTACCAATGATGTATTTTTTCACAAAGATCTGTCCAAAATACAAGAGTGGTCTAAAAGCAATGTTACTAAATAATTACATGTCCTGCAAAACCATTGGTATCCCTTAAGCTTTTCCACATTTTCCCATATTACAACCACAAACTTAAATTTAAATGTAATCTTACAGTACCTTACAAAAATAATCAGAGCCAAGTCAAGCTAATTTATGAGGCTCTTTAACATCAGGCACTGACCAAATGAGCAAAAAAAAAAAAAAAAACATGATTAAAACAAACAAATAATTTCATACTCAAGCCAGTGGGGAAGGAAGGAAACTCTGAAAGAGCTGGAGAGAGCCACAGCTAAACAGGAGAATATGTCAACAGTCCAGCTATCAGATGTTCACTGCAGACATCTGGAATTTTTGGAAGAGTAGCAAAAACAAACCCATTGTTTCAAGACAGTCCAGTTTGCCACATGTTTGCATGTGGGAACTAAACAAACATGTAAAGGATGATGCTCTATTTAGATGTAAACAAAATTTGACCTTTCTAATCTGCATGAAATGTAGCAGAAACATAATTCTGCACATCATGTTGAACATGTTATTCTCACAATAAAACGTGGTGGCAGCATTATGTTGTGGGGTAGGTCTTAGTTTTATAAAGAAAGGATAGGGAAGCTGGTCAGAGTTGAAAGGAACCTGAACTGAACTAAAAACAGGGCAGTCCTGGGAGAAAGAAAAACCCTGCATTGAAACCAATGCGCTGGCTGAGATCAACTCAAAAAAAATTTCACCATCTAGATGTGCAAACCTGGTGGAGCAATCTTTTAATAGATGTGCAGCTGAAACTGAAGCAAAAGCTTCAACAAAATATTAGCTTGAGGGAGCTGAAAACAAATACATGTCACTATTTATATTAAAAAGAGTCAATAGCATTATGAAATATTTTTTCCCAATTCAATAATGTAACAAAGTAAAACAAAGAAGGGAGTCAAACATTTGCATCGGTAAGGTCCCATCAAACAATTTGACTCTTTAAATGTTTTCAGGCTCTTTCAGTAAAATTAGGTTTTATAGGCTGACTTTATGTTATTTAAGACAAAGCTCAAAGATGACTTCAGTCTACATTTTCGCACTGATTCAAAAGCAAAACTGAGGTCCCCCAATTTACAAAAATATATTTTAGAGAAAGAACATGTAAACAATTCTAAAGCACAAAAACTGTCAATGTGTCAAACAGAAACAAACAAGATCAGCAGCTGAAGCTGAAGCGAGTTAAAACATCATCATTAAGTCATTCTTTGTGGTTGTTATCACACTTACGCAACCTCTGCTCAAAAGACCTGAACAGCAAAATAAGCAGATACAGGCGAAATGCAGAGAGATTGGGTGACTGTGCAGATAAAGACACCACAGTGCATTTCTTGGGGGTCAAAAGTTGTGCATGAGATGGATTACTTTGTGTAACATTTCTGAAATACGTAGCTTTTTGGAAATATTCTGCCCCACGTGCCTTTGGTAAAACAGTCGACTTGGACAGATGGAAATGATTTTATTTACATTAACATAATGTAACTCTGAACCTGCTCCAGTTTGACTATTTTGCTAAATCTTTCATCAGTTTGGCAGTATTCATTGCAGCCTTTAGAGGATGATGAGCCTGAAAGAATTCATGTTCAAATAAAGGCACATTTCTTTTTCTGTTCAAAACTTCAAATTTGGTCAGATCACTAAAAGCTTAACAGTTGGTGCTTACAAATAAAAACCAAAACCAAAAAGCATAATCAGAACATTTTTACTTAGGATGTCCAGTCTCAGCTTAATAAAAAAGTGCAACTTGCTAATTCTTCTTCTATGTGACCCAGCTAACAATTATTAATAATAAATAGTTGTTGTTACCTTGTTCAGTGATGACAGGTGTATACTATGTGTGTGACTAATCCACATAAATATAAATCAACATTAATGCAAATGAAGAGTTTAGATTTCTGTGGTTTTCCTATGGGAGGCATCCATTAGAGATTTTGATGTCAAGGTTGATTTGAGATCGATTAAATTAGAATTCAGGTTATACTCAAGCAGATTTGGGTCTCAGACTTAATTTCTTCTTTTGAGCCCAAAAACAAAAACATTCTACTACCATGTCAGTGTTAATCCAATGTGAGCATATGTATGTGGACAAAATATCTCAGTGTTTCTAAAAACTAAACAGACAATGATGGCTTTAATAGGTTTTGGTTCAATCGTTCCTCCTAAAACTCAGAGCTTAATAAATAAAACAAAAGGAAAAGGGTAGTCTGTAGGTGATGGGAAATGTATTTTGTGATGTTTAAGACTGGAAGCTTTCTGGTCTTCATTTATTTCTCTTTTTTTGGTTAAAGTACTTCTGTTTGGTTTTTCAAAACATAAGATTTTTTTTTTCTTTTCAGGTTTTCAATTAGTACTCAAAAATGTGAATACTACTAATGCATGCATATCAACTTGGCTAAACAACGATAACTACAGTAACTGCAACTGGTATATTTCCTTCAAAACTTCTGTTTGTCCACGTCACTGAGAGATTTACAAGATGTGTTTATAGATAAAAAACAAAGAAGAGAAAATTTGGACAACAATCTTGTGAAGAATATGAGATAAATGAGTGTCTGGATTATCGGCTTAATTTGGAGTCTGATTTAATTAAGCCAGAATTCCTGAGTCAGATTGTACTGCAGCAGCGTTCACCATGATGTATGCTTTGAACAGGAATACATTTTAGAAACTTTGTGATTCATTATGGAAAAATGTTATCTTCAGTGCTACATACTTAAACAGTGCATAAACTAGTCACTGCAGCACCTTACACAAGATATATTTTAAAGCAAATATGTGACAAAGTAAATATGTTACTAAATACCAGAGGAATCCTACACGAGCTGTCACGGTGGTGCTAATAGTTCACCATATTTTCTGCGTGTCCACATCTGTCACGCAGGACAGATGTGGTAAATAATCAGATAAATAATCTGCAGATTTATCGTCCACACAGCTAGTTCATTGCGCTGATCTGCAGCCCTGGGCAGCCCGTTGGCACTCCTGCGCAGAGGTTTGCCCTTGTCAGTAGTGATTGTTTTTTTTAACCTTGTTGTTTTTTTTTTTTTGTAATGTCAGAGCTAATCTAAGCAGACGCAGACAAGAAACAGCAATATTTATCCTCTTCTTCATCAGCAATGAATGAGGTTCGTGTTTCTATCTGTGCTACCAAGTAACCTCCATCACTCAGCCGTGGGTATGCTGTTCCCCTGCTGCTCCAGCCACCGCTCGGACGTGTTTAGGGAGCTCCGTTTTAGCAGCCTGTTGAGGATGTCTGTGCACGTCTTCTTGTACTGGTGCCTCAGCAGGGAGTACACAAAGGGGTCGCAGGCTGCCTTGCTGTAAGCCAAGCACTTGGAGACAATTCCCCAATGAGGGTCGATCGGCACTGCTGGAAATAACTCCACGATCCTGAGGGTGGGCAGACGGAGAGGGCGGTGAGAGCAAGAGGTGAAAAGGCAATTCAACATACTGGAAAAGATATGCATGCCTCGAGCTTACAATGCAGAGACGTGTAGGCAAAACACAGCTGGAAACTAAGAAGGCATTTTTTCAAATGCAGCTCTACTAATTTAGTATTTGAGGGGTTTTTTTTTTCTCCAACTTAATTTTTCTTTTTTATGTCCCACCTACAGGACAGAGCTTATTGTACAATACTTATTCCTGTTATTCCTGTTTTCATTTGAATAGTAATCTATAAATGCTCTGTAATGGACTGACGATTTGTCCAGGATGTCCCCCGACCCTCGCCGAATAACCATTGGAGATAGACACCAAGCATAATAAACAATGGATGGATGGATAATAATTTATATAACATATCTTTATAGTGTCATCCATTTCCATCTGCTTGTCTGAGCTATATCTCCCCAGTGAAACTCTCTAGCTCTTTCTGGTCGATCCCAAGGAGTAAAAGAGATCCAAACATCGTCTCTCCAGCACTTTCTGTGTCAGCCAAAGGGTCTCCTCTAAATGAAATGTGCACAAAAAAACTCCAATACGAGGCATCCAAGAGAAACACTAATCAGATTCCAAATGACCTCAACTGACTGTGTGGAGGAGTAGTACATATATAGATTGCTAAATCAAGGGTTTTTCCCTTGGCTTAGCAAAGACTATAACCAAAGGCAAAGCAGTGCCTGCATTATGAAATAGAAATATGCTAACTTTATCAAAACGTAAACCTTTTTTTTAAAAATATCTCTCTTAAGTTTGAGTTTTCATTCAGGCTATATTTTTGTTTTAACATTTATTTTTATTGATCTGGATATGTAATAGTATAGTCTTAAATGCTTTTAGTAGGAAATCATAACTAATCAAAATGAAAGCTTGAAAACAACAGTCTCATTCATCTGCTCATATCAAAATAATATCCAAATGCATGGAATCTGACTGTAACTACAATCTCAAAGCTGTGCGGATAAAATAAAAATAACTATGAAGTATTAATGGTTCAATATACAAGCAATCCTTTAATTTGTAAGCATTAACCAATATAATATTAGGGATTTTTCCATGTCATTACCTCAAATCAGCTATTAGCAAAAAAAAAAAAAAGACAGGAAGTTGTTCAACTCACCAATTAATGGGGCAAATAATGATTCTCCAGGATGCAAGCATAAAAATCTGCTTCAACTTCACTGACTTTCACATTCGCTGGGCCTCATAAAAGCTTTTTTTTTAAATGACAGATTCTAGGTGACTCCACTTTGGGTGATTACTGTGTTTAAAGTAGAGCTGTGTCAGCACATTAATGCTATCCTTATAGGCAGATTTGACAGACGTTTGCTTCACTCTCCCCCCAGAGGAGTTTAAATCAGCTGCCAGGTCAAACAAAAACTGTTGGTATGGTGACCCTGACATCAAATGCATATCAGAAAGCAATTGATGAGCTGTCATCAAATCATCCTTCCACAGTAGTCCATCTGTACCCCATTTCTCTCCTATCCCCCATAGGGGAACCCAGACATCAACCTCCTCTGTGACATTCCCCAGCTCGTTTTAGGGATTTCGCAAGGCTTTTCTAGGTTAAAAAGCGTACATAGTCTCTCCAACATACTCTGGGATGAATTTTTATCATGTCAACTTTACATTGAAATACTAATCTGCCATTTTCAGAGAGAAAACATGTGCCGCCTGGCTGTGTTTTTTATTACTGGCAGAGTATCGATAACACAACAAATTTTTGTGTTGTTAGAGCAGATGGAAAGCTTGATGAATTGCCTGTAATCATTTAATAGCAAAGCCAAGCTAATTTAATTTCAAAGAGCTTGTTTTCCTTCCTCCATCACCAAAATGCTTTGGGGCATGGAGTATGTTTTAGAAACGTATTAAAGATCTAGAGAATTGTAAAATCAATGCCAGTGCATGGAAATGCACTGGAGGCAACTGATGGTCAAACACTCCATGTAGGCAGTTGGTACCAATTTATTTTTCAGTCTGTGAGCAAGAATTCTGGCTTCTTGCTTTAATGCCCTGAAACACAAAGCTGTTCTTAGTTGAGTTTGGATTTAGATAAGTGTAAATGTGAATAGTTTCGTTTTCTGTTTTTTTTTTTTTTTCTGGTCTGGGACAACTGGGCAAATATCCACAGTCCTCCAGGGAAGAGGGACCATTGACCAAAAGAGTGACACTCAGATTTTTTTTGCAACATCTCAAGCTGAGAACATCTGACACAACACTGACATAATCTGCTTATGGTAAAAAAATAAAATAAAATAAAAATAAAAACATCTGGGGAAGGAAAGCTTCGATAAGAAAGTTTTCAGCATCATGAAAACTTAAGGATACTCTTGCTTTGTTAATAGAAAACTTTAGATAGACAAACTTACAGATTTCAAATTGTGAACATCACAAAACAGTATGAAATTAAATTTAAACAGCTCTCAATCATTTTTACGCAATTATTCAAATTATTTGCAAGGAAGTATACACATAATATATTTGACAGTGAACATTTTGGGTCAAAGTGTTGCTTATTTGTCTGGTGCAGTTTCAATCAAGTCAAAAAAGAAAAACAATTACACCTGACAAAGGTTGTCTGGAACAAACTCTATTTTCATTCTGTTATAGCTAAAATCAAAAATTAAACTCTTTTGAAGCTATGTAGACAAGGAAGTACATCTACTCCCTTGAGGGAAAAAAAAAACCTTCATTCAGCTTTTACTTTTTTGCTCGCTTCAAGGAAGACATGCAACAGACTTTATAATCGTGTGTTCTACTTGAACTGCGAAGCTGGAGTTTGAAGGTTCTAAGATATAAAAGTAATCTGAAACACCCCCCAAAGTCAAAAGTCCAACCAAAAAAAAGTTAGAGGTTTTTCCCTGACCTTCAAATCCAACATGGATGCCTCATGCACATGGACACAGCCATAATGTTTTTATTTGAGCTTTTTTCTGTCATACATACACAATCAGCTTCCATGTTACCTGGTCACTGAGTTCAAAATTCATGAAATTTATCTCTTTCATTTTCAAATGGATCATCAAAGCAATGCAGCAACGTTGGTTCTCAAGGTTAGGTGTTCTGATTTTTTTTCTTCAAAAAACTTCCCTGCTTCAGCACATTTAAATGAAACCACTAGGGTACTGACAGACTGCGGTACTTGAACGCATGCCAAAGAGGTTTGAACTAGCTGCTCCTGGAACAGGAAAACATTTTCAATTTGCAGGACACTTGCTTCCAACGACCAAAGTTGAGGACCACACAGCTACCATTACGTTTCAATTAAATTATAGCTGATAGCAAGACACTGTGGTCCAAAATTCATTTTGATTGTCAACTGCCAAGGTTTGGGAGAGATAAGACGACTACCGAAACAGTGAATAAAAATACCATTGGATGGTGTCGAAAAAACACATCCAAGTTGACCTTTCAGATATAACAATATCTTGCCACCTACCCCCTCCAACATGTCCTTGTTGAACTTTTAGGTTTGGCGACAACAACTTCATCCTGTAAAAAGTACCCAGTGCTGAATATAAAGATAATTTTTCTAAAACTGTTGTCAGTAAGTTCAATTTTAAGCTTCAGAAAGCTTCAGAATAGCCCAAGATTTACCATAATTTAAAATATTTATGATTACCTCTGAATGTCTGTGTAGTCAATAAATTTATCAAAGTGCGGAAACTTTGTCTGTGCAAAAAGTGGTTTCATCTTCAGTGATTGTTTTCATTTTTAGTCTTTTTTCTTGTGGAACACATCCAAGTCCACCTTTGCTGCTTACATGCATTGGTACTTACTATATTTGATACACACTTTTCACTTCAGGAGGAGCACCCAAAAAGAGCTGTAGCATTTCAAATGCTCTGATTCGGTTTATCACAATTTATCAATTTGGCTATGTCAAATTAATCAAATGTTCACTACCAAATAATTGCCACTTATTGACAGGTTCATTTTGCCTCATTCTACAAGTCTGTTTTGGTAACATATTACAAACATCTCAGCAAGTGAAAAGTGCAGTTGTTTTCTTTCAGTTAGCTGCCCAGCAGTGCACAGCAACAGAGAGGTGGAGCCATCGGACTCCATACTGCAAGAGAAATCTCCAGCCACCGTGGCACTCTCCGTGAGCTCTAAGTAAACAAATTTTCCATAAATCCAATATGTAAGAAAATATGAGAAGTTCTGCAACAAAAACTATTTAAAACCTTGGTATACCATGTTGCTGATAACCACTACTTGCTTGAAGGCATACACATGGGTAAGACCTTGGAGTCTTGTAGGAATCCAAATATCCCAATAGGTGATTTGCAAAGCAGGCTCCATGACTCATGTTTGCCCTCCAGAAAATTACAGTCAACCTTTGGAGTCAAGTCAAATTTATTTTCAGACGCAAGACCGCAGATAGAATTTATCTGGTTATGTTCCAAACAAAACATAATGCCAGGAAATATTTCTTTCCTTGACACAGAGACATGAGCCTCATTTGAAAGAAGACTTTGATAGATGAGAAATATTATTTGGTTTCAATCTTGTTTTGTTTTTCTTTTTGTATTAATTTTATTATCCAAAGAAGTAGAATAAATAATGATTTATTTCCCATTACACAGATCTTGTTTTCCACATTCTCATCCTTTCACCTGCATCACTTAAGTCCTCTTTCTCTCTCCTGTGGCCTTCTTTGGCATCCCTTCTTTAAGCAGTGATTGATGCCAGCAAATTCAACAAAGTGGGGATGCACCAGACGAACTTGAGGAGAAAAGTGCCAATGCAGCAGCAACAACAGCCGGACAGAGGCGTATTACTTATCACAAGGTCAGCCACTCTCATCTTCCAAACTCAGCCTGCATGGAGAGGAAGCAGGCAGGAAGTGAGTGGGAGGGCTGCCGTGTTGGAGGACGGTAACCAAAAGGCTCTGCAGCGTTTTGTGTGTATTACAGCACCGTTTCTCCCACCTGCAAACACTCACCTCGTGATCACGTAGGGAGCAAAGCAGAGCATGAAGGTGCCGATGAAAGTGCTGATCTTCCTCGTTGCTCTCTGTCGCCGCCTCTTCTGCTCCTCCAGGCATCGCTGACGGACGCTGGAAAGGAAAGACAGCCGGTTTATCCCCTGTGGGGCAAAATCTGAGATTACTGGGATTGCCTCTGGATTTCTGTATATTGAGGACATTAAATCTAATGAGTCAAAAGCAGTTAAGCTGCTTTATGAAAACAAACTCACATTTTCAGGAGCTGCTTTGGAATCTTTTGTGAAAATGTGAGGCTGTATTTGAATTTCTTGCCAAATTGCTTTAAGCATACCTAAATGAAACGAGAGGCCACAAATGGTGGAAACGTGATACATGTTTTTCAATATCGTTCCTAAAAAGATCTGAAAAGTGTGGCCTGCATTTGTTTTCAGTTTCCCTGAGTCAGCTCACTGAACAACAACCTTCCACAGCAGCTAGAGGAGCAAGTCTCTTGGCAGGGATTTCTACCAGCTTCTCTCATCAACAGACTGATAATATTTTCCATTCTTCTCTGCAAAAACTGGAAGGAGAACCTTTCAAAATTTGCAACAAATTCACACACCATTAGACATAGATCTAAACTTTACCACCGTCATGTTTTCCAGTAAACGTGATATTTTTGTGGCGATATGCAATGTTATACATTGTGCTGCAGATATTGTCTTTGCACATTGATCACATAGTTGCTGCTTCTCTGGACTCATCTGAGCAAAGCATGATCTTCATTATGCTTTCTGCCACCATACACGGCTTGAAGAAAACTGCAATGTGTATATATCGACATAATGCAGAAATTACTAATATTTGCCATATTATATTATCAAATCTGAGCTATGATTCTCTGCAACACCTCTCAAGTTACCATGGACTGCATTGCTTAGTCTTTAAGATGTTTCTTCACTAATGTTCCCCAACAATCTTCTTCTTCACAGAACAACTGTGCGTATGTGTGTGTGCGTGTGTGTGTGTGTGTGTGTCCTGTCCTGCATAAGCAGACACTATGATGACTGGTTGCCTGTTATCAACAGATTCCCTGTTCAAAACAGGGAAAGTCAAGTATCCTGCCTGTCACACAACTGGCTTTACTTTGAAGTGAAAAATCAGCAATTGAAAATAAGGCTTGAAAACATCCATTTGTGTGTAATTTATATTTATATCATGTTTTATTTATCTACTGAAATAAATATAGATTTCAATAAAATTGTAATTTATTGAATGCAACTGTCTACCCCCCCCCCCCCACCCTATCCCACCTCCCCCAAGAGTTGCTTATGAACACAACATAGAATATGGAAAAAAATGTGGAATCCAAAGGAAAAGATAAAAGATTAAAGTTGGATGTGGGTTTAGCTGGAGGTGGTTGTCAAATCAAACCCAGCTCAGAGCCTCATAACCTTGAGGCAGCTCTAGGGCCAGCAACTTTATGATGGAAAATGCCCCTGCACCTTTGGTAAAAACACTGTTGAGAATTTGAAAGAAAAAAAAAAAGCAGACTGAACATTTTGTACATTTACCTTGATATCTCTAAAATAAAAGTCAATTCATAAATTCACACAAAGACAGAGGGGGGTTAAGTGTGTCCTGCAGGAGCTCACCTGGGGTGTATGTCCACAAGCAGCACCAAAGTTTGCATCGTTATAACATCGATCCTCTTGCAGTGAAACCGGGCCACTTTAAGAACTTTGAGGTATGTGAAACATAACACTATAAAAGACAGGAGGAAGGTGAAGGAGTGGAAAAACACGGTGAAGACAACAAACTGGGTCCTGCTGCTTGCCCTGGCGTTGGACAGGGTGCAGGACGCGTACAGCCGGTGATAGCCCACCCACGAGAGACAGGCGGCCACGGTGGAGAAGGACATGGAGTGCGCCCACGTGTAGCCGAGCACTAACGCTGCGTCCTTGTGGCGCATCTTGGAGTGGTACCTCAGGGGGAACACCACCGCGATCCACCTGTCGATGCTCAGGGCGGCCATGCTCAGCATGGAGTTGGTGGACAGGAAGGTCTCCAGGAACCCCGCGATCTGGCAGAAGCCGTCCCCCCCCGGCTGAGCCCTGCTGACGAGTCCCACCAGAGTGAGCGGCATGTTGGCCACGGTCAGCAACAAGTTGCAGAAGGTGAGGTTGAGATTGAACAGACCGGGCACCTGTCTACGGATCTCCGGGTTGTAGAGAAAGCAGATCAGCACCAGGACGTTGGACAGCAGTGACACTATGATGATCACAACTACCAGCACGGAGAGAATTACCTCCGCAGTGTCCATCCTGCGCGCCCCCCCAAAAAAACTCACTTCTCCACACTTTTAGCGCGCATATCCAAATCCTGTCTGCGCCTCCAGAACTGAGGCGCAGACAGTTCTTGAGACAGATAAATGAAGAAAATACATCCTCAGATTTCTCCAGCCTTGAAGATGCCTCCCTTCCCCACCTACTCCCTCCACTACATTGTACTGGAGTCGCAGATTGTTAGAAGGTTCCCGGCAGGTTTAAAGTAAATCTCGGGATTAGAAAGTGCAGGTCCCCCTTTTTGTTTTACCCCGAAGCTGCAGGAAGCGTCTCACGCCGCAGCTGCTCTGTTCTAGTAGCTGCTGCGCCCTGCAGTGGGGAGTTTGTCATCCTGTGATGCCTCGCTCTCCAGGCATCACCCCTCCGTGCACACTGCACAACTCCTTGTGTGGACCGCTCCGTTTGTCCCCGATCTTTTCTGAATACTAGCACAGCTACACAGCCACGTTGAATGCCGATGTAAGTTATTCTGTAAGAAAACAAAAGGGGACAAATGAATAAATAAATAAATCGCCATTTATATTTCTATATAAATGGCAATTTGAATAAAAGTAGAGATGCAAACATTGAGTGAATAGTTGTGCAACGATTTAAATGTTCTATTCACAAATAAAAACACAAAATGAACCGTGACGCAATCATTATTTTTTATTTGCAGCCATCTAAAAGCAACATCTTTGATTCTCACTGTCTGACTTTAAATTGGCTTAAACCTTTTGTTTTAAGTCAGGTACAATTAGAAACCTCATTTCAATCTCAAATTTCACACTAACAAAAGATTCAAACTGAACTGTTTGGATGTGATGGCCATTTTATTACATTTTGTACAAAAACACCACAACTTCACAATCCAAACGTGAAGAAGTGGTGTTGATGCATCATGTTTGGAGGTCTGGTTGGTCTGCAGGAGGAAAGTGGTGCAACTTGATGGACTGAACAGAATTCACCAAAACAGTCTAGGATTAGGAATTTGGTTCATAACTCAGTCCTGTTATAAACTTCTCCACAACTTCTTTCCCGTCCTGTCTCCGTGTTTTAAGCTCTTCACAAAGTTGTATATGTTCACTAATTGTCTTTAATCTAACTTATTATATCTGGCTTGTAAAACCATACATCCCTTTCATCCGATTTCACAATTATGCGCTACTCTGTATTGGTCAGTCACATAGCATGTGAAAAGGTTCAGAAAGTGCTAATAATACATCTTGCTCATAACAATGTAACAGATTCCCACCACAGAAATCCCAAACTGTACTTGTGATAGTCACATTTACCTTTTGATCACATTCTAATAAAAACCTTGTAAGAATATCAATTAGCACAAACAACTCATAAACTGCATAGCAGCAGTTTATAGTTTACAAAGAAATGTGTCTGAATTGTCTGCAATCCCCAAAGAACAAATCCTTTTAAAAACCAGCCTCATTTAATCAGAACTCATACCAAATCAAACTGATTGCTGTAACACTTGCGTTGATGTCCAAGTTATAACCTTCCCTCTTGCACATCCTCGTCATCATCACTTCTTTTCTTGTTAAATCTGCCTCATCAGATTGATAAGGAGGAACATCCTCCTTTTTCCTCAGAAGCTGGATGACGCCCCCACACTCTGCTGCCGCTCTGGACCAGAAGCGTGGAGAATTGGTCCTCTGAAACATGGGACTCGTCAGAGTGTGACGCTGCTGCTGAGGCACGTGAGCGACAAGGCACTGGAGCCAGATAAAATGCTGTGGTAAGAGGGCAGAGATGCGGGTGAAGAAGAGTTATTGTTATTGCTATCTGCACAAACACACGTGGCATTTTATTAGTAAGGATGTGACACCATTGTGTCAAAGCAGCAAGCTGCAAGCTGAACACCTACAAAGCTGGCTGCTTGGTTTAGAAACTACTCCTGCTGTACAGTGGTTCCTAGGTGTACTGAGGCCTCCAACAGTAAAATTATATAACTTCTTTTTTAGATGTTAGCATTACCTCTCATGATGCCAACCTGGCATTACTTTAAAATAGGCTTTTTAAAACATTTTTAGAAAAAAATCTCAAGTACTTGCAAAATTTACCTGTTAGATGATGTTTGTTGTCTCTAACCTCTGTGAATTCTAGGGGTTTACGGTACTATTTTCTCATAGTGGCGTGACAGATTTTGTGAAAAATAAAACAAAAAATAAATAAAACCAGGTTAAACGAATATTTTGTCATGTATATTCGGGCAGAAAGTACTTCTAAAGGTACTTAGGGTTTAACAGTCGGCCCTTCTTGTTTCCGCTTTTGGGATGTGTGCGTTAAAATGAAAGCCAATAGTATATCATGTCGCATTGTGGCGAGGTTACTTAAGTGTCCCAAGCTGCATTTTCTTTCAAATATTTTAGATATGTTGGATAAATTTTTTTTAAAAAATCTGTGAATAGCAGGATTTTTCAGGATGTTATTAAATATGTCCCTAAGTGAGGGAAATTCACTGATCAGAGTCAAATAATTGTGCTGTGATTGTCAATACTGCTGTGGTAAGTAGCATAAATAACTTAACTTTGTGTTTTATATAAGAATATTAAGACCACAGCATGTGTAAAAACCAAGAACGGTGGTGTTTTCACTCAAAGTTATCACAGCATGAGAATCTCCCAGCAGCCAAATCCTTGTTTAAACTGAATTTGCAGAATAATGTGATATTTAAATACATTAAACATGCTATGGGTAACTCAGTCTCTGAAGGAAGACACAGTCAGGCACTGTCATGCTTGTCAGGCCTTATCAACACAGTGCCACCAGTTGATCTCAGGCACAGGTGCATCTATTTGTAGGCGTTTTGTTAATTATTCTTTTCATGAGTAAATGTCAGCTCCACACACACAGCGATCAGTCTCTATAGCTTGAAGGATAATGAGTGATGGATTATGTAACGTACATAGGTGAGAAAACACAGCTTTGATTGATTGATTTTTAGGGCTTTTTTTTTTCCTTTCTAAGATTTTTGCAAAACACACAATCTCTCATATCCGGCCTTTTACAATATTAAATAGAAGTGCATGCAGATAATGTTTCATACACATGGATTTAGTTTTTTCAAGTAAAAAACGTCTTTATTCATAGCCAACATGTATTGGTAATTGAGAACAAGTAGAAAATAAATTTTATGAAATTTGGAGGGAAGACTGAGCAAATTGTAAAATGTTTTTGTAAAGACTGCACACACGTAGTGTTTTGGTGGATATTGCATTTGGATAGTTATTACTTATCTTTAACTAATGTAATAAGGGTATTTAGGAAGACACATAAATATTTATACCAAATCAAAAGGCAGGTAAGAAATGATCTGTAGTCTCACAGAGTATTCAGTTTCTGTTGTAAAGATTATTATTCTGCTGTGGGGTGCAAACATTAGAAAGCATTGTATGTCTAAGCATGAGTCACCCACTTGACAAATATTAGTAAAACAACACTTGAGCAAAAATTATATAACAATGCAGTGTTTCCCATGATGTGCATTTCTGGGTAACACTTTATATGACAGGTTGTGAAAAAGACTATCATGACACTGTCATAAACGTGACATAACACCTGTCACGAACATGAGTAAGTCTTCATAAATATTTATGATACTTGTCATAAAGTGTTATTCGGTAAATCAAGACACTTTTAATACAAAGTTGACATCATTCAAAATGTCTTCATTATGTCAACCTGACATTAACCAAGAAATTATAATCTGACATAAACTTACTCATGTTCATGACAGGTGTTATGTCAAGTTTATGACAGTGTAAAGACAGTCTTACTCACAGTCTGTCAAATAAAGTGTTCTCATTTCTGTTTAAGTCTTTACATGCCTGGACATATTTTGAGTAATGGACAGTAATCAATTTTTATTACTATCTTATATATTTTTTACTCATATAAAACATCATGCAGATTTGACTTGACTGGATTTCAGTACCTTTGTGTTACGGTGTATTTTATATTTCTAGTTATTTTCTGATGAATCCAGTTCTGTTACATTATTGTGTCTCTTGCCCTGTTTTTACCTGTTTTTCTTGTAAAGTCTATCCTCTCATACTGCATGTTTTCGCCATGTGTTTTCAGTTTGGATTCCTTTTGTTTCTCCTTCTGTTCGTTTTGAACTGTGTTTTTTTTCTTTTCTTTTTTTTATTAAAGCATTGCTTTCCCTATGAGTCCGCCCGCCACCTGCATACATTTGAGTCCGCCTCTAAATCAACACGTAGTTTGTACCCTCAGGTACGGCCCCTGGAAACCCGGCTGTCTTCACCATCCAGTCACGTTCCACGCTTCCCACTTGAGCTTAACGTCTCCTGTCAGCCAGCAGTGCATGTCCAACACTCCTAGATGCAGCCCTGGCAGCTTCCAGGGTCGCAGTAGCCACATTCACCTCCATGCTGCGACCCGAAATATGGCGCACTAGACACTGCCATCACACCTCTCTGCCAGCCTTGGGTCAACATGTCTCACTCACTTTACAGTGGGCCTGGACAGTGCCTTGTTTCCTCTCAGCTTGAGTCACATCCTGTCACATCCACAGGCTAAGCCGGGACTCCAGCCATCCTCTCCAAACAGTTAGCAGTCACCATCTTTCCCAGGGCATTCATCATCTCAGAAACTGAAGATGCATTACAGCTGCATTCGTCTCCAGAGCTTCAGTCTTCATCCCCATTCACCACAGGGTGAGCCCATTCAGACCATTCTTCACATGTTCACTGCTTCTCCCACCTGTGCATTCCTCAGCATCGCCCTTGCAGCTTCTGGTCCCATCACCACTCTCACGGCTTTCAGTGCTGTCACTGTGATCAGCGAACTGATGGTTTTTGTTATCTGATCACTTTTCAGAACTGTGCAGCCAGGCACGCACCAAGTTTTAAGTGGGCACAGGTGGATGTGTTATATTATCTGCTTTGGGTTGCTTTTGAACCACAATAAACGATGCATTGACCAACACTTTGATGCACTTGATAAAAATGTAATGTTTCAA